CCGTTCTCAAAACTCTTTCATGTCTTGATAGTTTTCCGTAACACTGCAATTTGAAGTTGTTAGCCATGCACGAGCGAGAAGTTGGTCTTCATCCACACTCCAATTTTGATAATTTGAGATATTTTCTTTCGGTGGTTCTTGCGATAGAGAAATGTTTTCCACTCCAAATTGAGTTGAATATAGTGGACAAGAATTTTGAGAGATTGATCCCCTAGGCGTTGAACTTTGAGAGTCGGATCCCCCACAAGCATCCCTTCTTGTTGAAATTGGTGTTGATGGACTACCCGAAGACATATTTGTGTTACCAAAACCTGGCGGAAAATTATTTCCAACCATTTGTGAAAAGTAACCCGGTGGTTGATACATCACGAATCGGTTTGAGAAATTTGATAAATTTTCATGAATTAGAGGGAAATTTGGAGCAGCAAAATTTTGTGAATATCCAAAATTTTGCATATTGGGTTGAAAATTTTAGGATGGAAATGATTGAAAAGTTTGGTAAGAATTATTGAAAGGAGAAGACGGATTTTCATCATTTTGGGAAGATTTCTTATTTTTTCTTTTATCCATGGTGGATGAGAAGAATATAATTACAAGGTGAAGAAGATGTGAAAATGAAAAATCAGATTGGTCGTATTTATAGAAATTTTTTTGTATGTAAATTTTTTTTAAAAAAAATATTATTATTTTAATCACTTCATAGATAAACTTGTCAGATTTTGGATAAGTTTGCAGATTTTTTTTATCCATTGTGTTGATGTTTTTAAGATTTTTACATTTTGGATAAGATTTTTATTTTTCCAAATTTTGCTAAGATAAAATGACAAAAGATTCCCAAAAATAGTAAAAATAGGATATTAATGGGGCTGAATTAAAAAAAAAAAAAACCGGGCTGATGAAACAGGAAAGAAAAAAAATAGAGAGTGAGAGAAAATGGGGGACGTGCGGCATGTTCTCATTTGGTGGACCGGTAAGAAATTTTTTAATGAAAAAGAAAGTAAATTGTGCCATTCAAATATGCTTGTGCGCACAAGGACATTCCACTCATCCATTGAGTGAAGTGTGTAGTCATTGTGACATTAAATGCCAATTGTACTATTGCTGGAGATGCTCTTAGCGTATAACATCAACTAAGTTGTCAAGGAAAAAATAACTGTGAAATTCGAACACAGTCCGCGCCGTTAATTTAAACCAATTTAAGTCTTTTTTTTTTTAAAAAAAAAAAAGCTAGAAGTTGCAAGGTTTTGTTTTCAACACGATGAGTCAAGTTGCTATACATAACATCCAAAAAGTCACAAACATATTGAATCACCAAAGACCGAAAAAAAAAGAGAGGAAAAGATAAAAGAAAAGACGGGAACTTTGTTCTTCAGCTGTTGATTAACTAGTCGCGTAACCAGCAGGTAGGAATCTGTGCAAAATAGATTCTTGCATTGGGTTACCCTAGTAGCATCTACCGGCCGGTGATTCCCCGCACGCTGGCGGCATCTAAAATGCGCCAAGGTTGTATCCTCATCCAATAACGCTAACTAGGTCAACCTGATAAGTTGGTTCATTTCCTTCATCAATTTGGAGTTTGGAGTATAAAGATTTCGTTAGCCATATTCTCTGAACCCTTATCTGCTTGGTTAATATATGGCTTTTGATACCAAAAAATAAGAAAGCTCTACTGGAACTTTTTGTGTTTGTGCATGGCATAAATTTACTTTGATCCTCCATATCGTGCAAATTACGTGCATCATTTTCAAATCATTATTATAAGATCTAAAATTTCCTCACACATAGTAACTTCTTACTCTTATCGAATTCAGATTTTGAGAAATTTGAAAAGAATAATTGTTTATTTTATTTTTTAATCGTTACAAATTGATTTAACAATTTATAGCTTCCAGCCTTATTATCTGTTCTTTTTCTGAGACTTCTGTAGCTTCCACCTCTTTCTCCCGCCTCCATCCCCCAAACAGCTTTTTCACATTTGTCAGCAAAAGTGCTACAGCTAGGGGTGTTCACGGTCCGGATTGGTCCGAATTGATAGCAATCCGTAACCAAACCATTCATTACGGTTTGAAAAATTTTCAATCTGTAACCGGACCGGATTGGTGTATAATCCAGACCAATCCAATCCGTTTTTAACGGTTTGGTTTGGGTGAATTGGCGGTTTGGGCTTCTGATTGGACTTTTTCATTTTGGGCAAAAAATTAAGCATTATTTTGTTGTTGGACCTTTTTTGGGGCCTTTTTAAGCCTTTTGTTTGGAGGCTTTTCTTAAAAAAAAATAAAAAAATTAGTCCATTGGGGATTCGATCACACGACCTTCAACAAGGTCTAATGTAGAGGGAACAACAACAATGCCAATAGGACAACTTAGAACTTTCGATAAAAGTCTCTATCCGACCCTATATATACAAAACCAATATATTATTATTTTATAATATATATATGGTCCGGTCCGGATTGACAGATGGTTTGACAGTGCCAAACCGTAATCCGGACTGGATTGACCGGTTTTTAACTTTTCAATCCACTGGTTTAAAAATATAATTATAATCCACCCGTTAATCCGAACCGATGACCGAATTAGGCGGTTCCACCTGTTTGAGCCAAACCGTGAACACCCCTAGCTACAGTCACTTTATCCTTCTCTTCCACTGGCCTTTATTTTACTACAGTTTGTATCCAAATGAAATAATTCTTTTGGAATGGTGCAACAATGATCAATAAATTGAACGAATGAGCATGTTTCTTGATTATTAACATTTTGGAATCCATTTCCAAAAAAAAAAAACAAAAACTTACATTTTGGAATATCTTATTAACTGCTTGTAAAAACTACAAGGGATGGATCGTACGTAGCAAGCTTCTTCTCCCTGAAGATGATTAGGGCAATTAGTTTGTTTAATAAATTCACTCGTTTAATTTTACTTGTCCAGTGTTCAAAATGAATTAGAAATTGTTGAACTTTTTTTTTTTTTTAAAAAAAAAAGGAGAGTTGCCCTTGAATTGCACGAAATTAATATCTTTTGCTTTTACTCAAATATTATTGAAACATTATTTTCTAGGTAATTATACATCTCTTGACACGGTCCAAATATTATTGAATCAAATCAAAGTAAGTAATTTTGTTCAATAATTTTGGTTGATTTAGTCCCATTTACAAGTATTGGATCAAGCTTAATATGAAAAATTTTAGAACGTTGCAAAACTCTCTAGATTTTTGTGATTATTAGAGAATGTGGATGAAATCATATAGTATTGGCCGGAACATTGTGGAGATTTCTGAAATATTTTAGGCTTGTGGGAAAAATTATCTAGGTTTAGAAATTTTTAATACTCCTCCTGATCTTTATTAGAAGACATTTTGGTTTGTGCTAAATTTTATTTAATATATTCGTTTAATTAAAAATAAAATCTTAAAAATATAAATTCACGTTTGTTATGTTCTCGTAATTCTAAAATATTTTTAAAGTTTTATTTTCATTTAATAAAAACATTCTAAATGAAAATTACAACAAATTAAAATATTTTATTATAAGGATCGGAGAGAGCACATTATTTAGAATTATCTAGAATTCGAAGGGCTTGGGTTGGTAACTATAGATATCCCAAGTTCCCGTTGTACAACATGAAAAATTCAAAGTGTTGAATTCAAGTTTACAAGTCCACTCGAATCCATTTTTACCTATTGAAAATAACAACCACTTAAACCACGTAGTCGCTCTATAGAAAAAGACTTCCCGCCCAAACTAAAGCTTATAAAAAAAGAAAAAAATTATTTTATCTATTAAAAGCAGTTTGTTCCTAAAATTACTCTATCATTTATCTTTTGCAATGAATTACCAAAATCCCATATATCATGATATTGCAACATTCTCAAATCTGAAAATCAACTTTTTATTTATTTTCTCTATATGAAAAAAAAAACTACAAACATTATATCAACAAAAAATAGTCGAAATGTTTTTAAATATATTCCTTTTAGTTTCTTAGTGCAGTTGAAACAATAATATCTTCTCATTCGTGTCACAATTATTGACATGAACAATTGTTGGCATCAGTAACATAAACATTGTCGGAATCAAGTAGACAAAAATTAAAAGACAAGAATGACACGGAAAGATGTGAAATATGTTAATGAGCAACAACGGGTTTCAGTATGTATCATTTTTTATAGGCAGGAGAAAAATATATAATGAAAAACAAAAATTGCGTCAAGAATTTTTGTTTTTTTTTTTTGGTAGCAGATACAATCTAATAATGCTCAAATCTAATGAGAACAATTGTCAAGATTTAAAGGGATATTTCCCCTCATTTTTTTGAAGCTCGAGCATGAAGAACTCTAAACCATCAAATTTTTCTTACACAATTCCAAGTGTTGTAGTCAATTAAAACATTTACCTCTAATTACATATATAATACTGATTTGTTTTGTATAAAAAAGTGGTGTAATTTTATTAATTGCATATTTTTCTGGGTTTAGCGATCGAAAATTTGGAGATAGGATCCAATAGAGTGCAAGGCTAGAGATTTTTAATTTCAATTAATTGGTGGTATTGATTGTATAATTGTTCTTTACAATTGTTGGATCTTAAACAAGTGTTTCGACAGAAAATTCTGTTAAAGAACATGTTTAAAACTTAAAAGAGTTTAGTTTAATGTTAAAGATTCAATCTGGTTAGATTATAAGTGCACTCTTTTAAAATATTTATCTTTATTTTTTTATATACTTTATAAATAATTATTAACATTTTCATGTAAAAGTCGCATGGGTAACCGTCCTGGTTAAATCATTTCTTTCTTCCTTTTTTTCTATAAACCTTCAACTTTTCTGTTTATTTTTTTTTTCAATACTTTTAAGAGTGTTTAATGATTAGGCTGAGCTATCATTCATCGATGGTAGTGTTGCCGCACAATTTGAACCAAGAAAAGAGTTCGCTCGTGATACCCCTCCCTCAAAAAAACAACTGAATAGTTAAATGTAACACAATTTACTATTAAATTATTTGGAGAACAAAAAATCAAATGACAACGAGAAAAGATGGTGGAAATGGAAATGGAAATGGGGGAGAGAAAACTCCACCCTTATCAGATACACCTATAGATGATTAGATTTACAGATCATATGGCACATTGTTCACGTATCAGAAATAATTTTTTGGTTACTTCATCCTACATTCTGGGTATTTCAAGAAGCTCCCATATATTCCTCATTCATTTCACTTCTCGTGTTAGTAACTTTTTTTGTTCAAAAAAAAGAAGGAAAAAAAAAATTACATATACAATTTTCAGTCATCCTCAAGCCTCACTATTGTGGGAATTTGACCATGATTCACAAAATCCAGCTTGTTCAGTCTCAGGCAGCAAAGCACCTGTTCTGGCAGTTCTTCCTGTTTCTGTGCCTGAAAATGGTCCCCAAAAGAAAAGGAGGGTTATTTTATTGTGACTGGATGGACTTGTATAGCTCAATGCAGGTGCTACATTTGTTGTTTTTTTTTTCACCCTATATAAATCATATGTAAAAAGGATTTTGAACCTGAATTGTCAATCCCAAATCCACTATTCCGTTTTTCAAACGGTCCCGAAAGGCATCTAATCCTTTTCTTGCAATGTAGCTGAAGCGGTGAATGTCGAGATCAATCTCAAAGTAGTTAGGTCCCTGCATTTACGAATGAGAGGATAAACATCTTAACACCTTGCTAGTCAAACCAAAAAGACTATCGTGGTTTTCAAACAAACGCTCGCGTTCAATCAGTTAAAATAATTAGTATTGATTCGGAACATAATACCAAGCAATTACAGTATCATGGTGTAAAGGAGAGAATCCATAGCTAAATTGATATGTACATACCTGATAGAAGTTGTGTTGAGGACGGGAGAGAACTGGCTTTTCATTATAAGCATTTATCAACTTTTTCTCAGTAGAGCTTGAGACGATTTCCTCTGGATTGACCACACCGACCATTATCTTCAACCGTTCTCTAAAAGGGACACTTGATTCTTTGGCAAAGCCTTTAACCTTTTCTACATCATCTTCGATCATTCTCTGTTGTGGGAAATAATACATGAACATATCAAAAGATCATTCAGGAAGTTAAGATAGAAGATTCCCCGGTACTGACCACAGTTTCGTTTCATTACTGCCAATTCGTAATGCATTCAGTTATTATGAGTACCACTACTTTCTTCGGAGGAAATAAATCACGCATCAATACATAAAAAGAAGCCCAAATGTGCAGTGACATGAAATTATGCGTTATACCACCCATGACTAGAACACTTGGTTCTCAGCTTCAGACAAGGAATAAGAGCAGCTTAGGTCAAATAGCCAGCATTAACTTTTGAAAGCACTTCATTTTCCATGTACGGAATCGTGTGATGTTGAAAACACAAAGGAAATATGTGATCCTTATAATTGAAACCTCTATAATAGGACAAAAACTTTGTCCCGCTAATACAAATAAAAAGGGAGTGGTTTTACCTTAATAAATTCCTGAAACTGAGGAGAGGTGTTCTTTTCATAAGTATCAGAAAGTTTGAAGTATAACACCAGGCTCAAGCCCTCACCATCACTGTCGCCAAGGAACATTGGCGCAGGATATGTAGGCAACTGCAACCAAACAAAAAAACAATAAAGGAGTTGAAGGAGAAATTTATCTAAAGACCATAAAGTCCATTCCTTAAATGAGTCTAAACATGCATATTGTAAATTAGTTGGAGACAGTTAAGAACCTGAATGTTAACAATGAGAAGTGGAGGAGCTTTCCCATCTGCTTTTAGAGAAGGAAGTTCAAGGTGCTGGGCGATATGATTAATTTTTTTGGGGCACACAAACAAATCAACACCAATCGGACTATAAGGAGCTGAATTTGGAGCAGGGGACTTCTTCTTGTCTCTGCAATTTTTAAATTTAAAACAAAGAGTTTGTTTTGTATTAGAAAAAATGTTGAGCATATATGAAGATTACTCAGAAAATGGAATTTAAGATCATACTTGAAATAACTGTCCCCACGGAGCTTGAACTTCGAAGGTTCTATCTCAGACCAACTTCCAGCAGTCGACTTCTCTTCTCTACAACATGGGATTAGCAATCCTGCCCTGGGCCGGTAAAGATACTTTTGTGATGCACCTGCAACATAAATAATTTCTGTCAATGCATTACAACTGGATGGATCCCCATAAAGTTGGACACAGGCTTAGCTTTCTTATAGTTGATTAATTTGACCATCCCTTGCAACAATGACAGTAGTATCAGATGCAAAATTTTGTGAGGCACTTACAAAATTCATTTGTTTCTTCTCCATCCACGGACGTCCGTGTCACAGAAAGCCTGATTACTGCTGATTTCCTTCTTTGAGATTGAGGGTTTGCATAAGGTTTACTGACAATTTTGTCATTAAAACTCACAGAAGGAACTAGTCTGGGCAGCACAGACTTCAACATGTTCTCTTGCATTTTCTCTTCGGCATCATATTTATCCTCTTTTAAACCACTAAAGCTTCCATAAGCACGGTCTAACAATTTCTTCGTTTTGCTTCCAAACTCTTCATTCTTTGATAATCCTGGAAGTTCATATCCTTGGGTGCTTAAGATGGAAAATTTGTTGGAATCCTTCAGACCGTCTTTGCTTAAGCTCATCTCTGTTTTACCATTATCTATTTTCAAGTATCCTTCATGAAATTCCTTGAATGTGCATTTGCTATCCACAAAGCATGATGAAGTTTCATACTGAAGCACCTGTCCCATAGCAACATGTGGAGGAATGTCTGCAGTGGAGACATATACATACATCAGTTAAAGTAAAACTTGGTTCTGTTACGGTGACTCTTATACTCTCAAGCAATGAAAGAGGAACTACTGATCAGAGTAATGGTGGAAATAAGTCAGTGTTCATTACCTCCATGAACGCTACTGAACTCGTCATCAGAGTCAGACTCCAAAATGCTGAGTGTGTCAAACCATGCATCTTCCTGGCAAATCACTGCAAGGATTTTACAACATCTTGGTCATTTTCGGATTTAAAGCCAAATATCTTGAGGCAGCTAGCGGAAAAAGCAAAGAATAGAGGAGAAGAAAAGCCAGGAAATTAGTTATATAAAAGTTAACAAGCATGTGGAGCAAAAAAAAAAACTGTCACCCTACATAGATTACTGGGAATTTCTGTGTCCATTATAGGCATTGTAGAACTATCTATGAGCATTCAGTAATCAAGCATTTCAGTCAAAGAGATTAGTACAATTCTTGAAGCACTGTGAAAGAATGTTAAACTTTTGGTATATAGATTGGAGTATACCGTTTGCATCAATTTGACTGTGGTGCCACTGCAACTGGGTTAGGTGGAATGTACCATTAGAAACTTCGGATCTTCTGCAACTAGTGGTTGTCTGGACAAACTCACTAACAGCAAAATCTGTAACTCGAGCATCACTGTGCTTCTTTCGATTTCCATCGACCACACAAGCCAAAAGCTGCCCTTTGAGTTTTCTAGAACGCCGATGTGGTTTCCTTTGTGGTTTGATCGTGTGAGCTGGAGTTGATACACACCCACCCATGATATCTAATGGAAGATACAGTTACAACATGAACGACACCAACCTCACACCAAGAAATACTGCATTAAAAAAAAAGAAAAGAAAAAGAATAGCACAGTTCAAACTTGATGCTGAGAAACGCTTAAAAATAACACTGTACAAAATGCAGTCAAACAATTTTAGCTGTAAAAACTAGGCAAAGTGTAAAGGCTCCAAACAACTAGGGAAAAAATTGATCAAGCTGTTCGATGTGAATCTTGTCCACCAACATGGGTTAAAGAATTCAGTCAGTTCATTATCTCAATACTAAGAAAAAGCACTTTTAAGTAAGGTCTGATGGTGGTAATTAAAGACTTCTCTTCAGTGACAAGGATAACTAGAGAATCAATTTGTGTCTACTAGCCATTAGCGTGATATCACTTTCTAGATAAGTTATCTAGACATGAATATGTCAAGTAACAATTCCAGGACATAACATGGCCTACCTTAGCTAAAAGCAATGTTCTTTCGTTTAAGTTGTAAGATTACATAATAAAATGGATTAAAAAAGAAGCTAATGCTTTTCCATCACAAAAATGTGTACCCTTAGATTATAAATGATCCTGCAGAGCAAGGGAACAGAACTGCACAATATCACTAGCAGAGATCGGCAGATTAAACTCATTCATTCCTAATTAAGATTGCAGAGGAGAAATTTAATAGACCTCAAAATCACATGAACATACTAGCAGCCTTAAACAACTGAAATTTTCTTTTTTAAGAAAAAATGCAAGATACTTGCAAAAATGCTGAGTAACAAGTACTTGACAAATCTTGCATGCTAATTTACTAATTTTCTTGGGAAAAGTTTAAAACTTTACCACAAGGCTAGAGGAGGAGAATACAGAGGAAGAAGAAGGGGGGAATGAACATGACCACCTTGTTGGCTGCAGTATCTGAACCAAATCGAATTGAAAAAGAAAAAAAATTGATAGAAAAGAGGGAAGAAGATGTTGAAGCTTTTAAGGGTCCACATCAAAGTGATGATGAGAGGAAGATGACAAAATCCAGAAAAGGGTTAAAAAGAAAAAGGAGAGGCTTTTAAAAAACTAACAAAAAGATGTGGGAGTTTGTGCAGGAAGAATGCAGGATAATATTACCAAAACAAGCATGTCATAATCAATAGAACTAACATAAGGAAAAAAAAAAAAAAAAGCAATATGAATCAAAATTATGGATGACAATGGAGATGAATCATATGATAGAAACGGCCCACAACAAAGAAACAAGAAGATAATCAAACAGCTAAACAAACAGCCGGACCCATTTCTATTCAATCCATAATAACAAGGTGGTGGGGGAAGGCCTTTGGTCAGGTCGTTCATCATTATGAATGATGACATTGTAACATCCTCCCCAAACTAATAATGGCCAATGAGAAAAAGGAAGAAAAAACAAATCTTTTTAGCTCCAAACAGATTACATAATGAAAATTAACGTGATTGTAAATCCAAAAAAGGAAGGAAAAAAGAAAAAAAAAACAGAGTAACAAATTGAATTAAAAATTAAGGGATAATGGAGAAAGAACCTGACAGGAGCTGGAGCCTGGAGCCGGAGCCCGAAGAGGGAAAGAGCAAGAATAGGGTCCGGACGGTGACGGTGTCGGTGCCGGATCCTAAACTCACTCTTTTTTGTCAGGCTCCTCTAATCAATTTCTTTTTCTTTTCTTTTTTTTTTCCTTCTTCCTCTGTGTTGTTTTTTTTTTATATATAAATACCCAACAATATATCGATACTAGATAAATGAAGATTCTTTATCTTTTGTATGTATATTTATTTGAATGATGATGTAATCTCGTCCTCGTAAAATGAAATGGGAAATTTTTTATATTTAACAGCAGAAAGAGAAATATACAGAGAATTGATGATGAAGAGAAGGAGAGAGGAGCGGCGGAGGAAGGAAAGCTCAGGGACCGGGATGCAAAAGCCGAGGAAGTCCGTGAGCTTTTCTTCTTCCGGTTTATACTAAATTTTGTTGAATCTCTTCGGTTTTTTTTTTTTTTTCCAACACGAAAGTATCAATTTGTCTTCTTCATTATTAACAACGTTAAAATTTTTGTTTCAGTTAAGAATTTATATAAAGTCAAGAAGGAAAACCAAAGGAGCAGAGAACTCCGGGAATTTCTGAAAAATAATTGTTAATAAAGGGTGGGAAATAATTATGTGGGAAGTTAATCGGATCAACGGTGACGGTTCTTCTGTTGCTCTTTATTTTTATTGTCATGAATGATCGTCACCTTCATTAACGGGTTCCGAATATAGTTTAATCGAGTTTATAAGTCAATTAATTAACACTAGAGATTATTTCTCGAACATGGCTAAAGTAAAGTGTTTAGCATCATACAGTATAGTTCATTAAGATGTTGAAAAGTTTTGTGTCTTTGAATAAGATCGGAAAGAACGGGTCATGTTTCCGACAAAAATCATTGATGTAGTTTTCCTTTCTTTTTATTTCCCTCATTTTTTTGCAATATTCGTATGTACTGTACATGGTAATTCCATCAAAGTTCTTAAAATGATGAAATTCTGAACCTCTGTTACACTAGAAATGATAAAAGAAATTGGAAATTTATTTACTATTTATTTTAGTATTTTGTTTGATGACATATTAGTACTCCTTCCGTCCCATAATTATTGTCCAGTTTGAATTTTTATTTCTAGTTTAAATTATACTACAAGTGAAATCTTAAACTATACAATAATTTTGGGACAGATGGAGTACTATTTTGGTAATCACTTTAATTAATTAGGTTCAAATCAATGGATCAGCAAGTCAAAAAATGACCAGCTTGACTTTATGACTATTGACTATTATTGACTATGAGACTATTGAGTCAATAGTAACTTACCGGAATCACGGGTCATTCAAATTTTCTTCAATGAAAATAAATTACTGTCAAAATAATAGTCCGTCGTTAGAATTTTTTCCATTAAATTCTGTGTAAGATTATTAGAAACTTTTAGCTCCGCAACATAATAATATGAGGTAACGAATTTTACCACCACAACTTTCTCCCAAAAATAAATAAGAATAGATAAAATCAATTCTCTATGTTTTTTTTTTTGTTTTTTCTTTTCTCTAATGACACAACTACATACTATGAGGTATCGAATTTATTATTGGAAAAAGTAAATGAAAAATCTAGAAGCAAAATCATATGTGCGCTCCTAATATTTTCATAATTTCATCCCACTGTTAGAAATTACTCCCTCCGTCCTAGCAAAATAATTCTCATTGAGTTTTGAGTTTTATATTATTTTAATACAAATTTAAAAACTCAATATGGGTTATTTTTTTGGGGACGGAGGTAATACAATACTTCCCTGGAAAAAAGTAGCATGATGGATACAATAGTAAATTTTCTTTCTTTTTTTTTTCTTTTACACAGCTTGCATAATTAAATTCAGAAAAAGAAAATTCAATTAAGAGGAAATAAAATCCTTTAGCCACTTGCCAACCAAATGTGCTGCTGAAAAGTAGTGTAGAGAAGTTGCCATGTGATCCATTATTAGCTTATAAGCTTACAACAAACAAATTGCAACACGTGAAGAGCCCTAAAACAAAAGAGTAAACCGCATTGAAGAATGGCTATTATCAGCCACCTCTGCTGCCTTTCTGTGCTTGTTATTTGGGCCATTTGGAAGAACCTTATTCAAGAATTGTGCCAAAACACTCTCCTTCCACCTGCTAACACATCATGTTGCGGAACAAGCAGTAAAGGATTGGTACACGTCTTTACCGGGCAGGTAATACTTATGCCAAGGGCCAGTTGGGTTCTGTCTACTTCAAATGGTATAGTGCTGACGACGGATTGTCATCACCTAATGGCATCGTCACTCTCGCCAGTCTTGCTGCAACCTCCATATCATAGGTCCGATGTGTCCCACATGAACACGCTTACTAATAGCCTGATACTCAGCTCGAGTTCTTTGTGAAAGAGCAGTCACTCCACCCTATCAAAATGATCAACGCTCGTTGATATGGTAAAGGCAGCAGGGTTAGACAGGAAACATGACAAAACGACTATATGCCTACCAAAATCCAGGCAAGAAAATGGATCTTGAACGATTCTGCATCCCATTGTCAGTAGCAAACCACAGACATGACCCTGTATGATCTGCAAATGAGAAAAAAGCGAGAAATCTTAGTATTGACTAATGAAGGGCTACAATGCAAAAACCAACCAGACATACAATAACCGCACACCTCCCTATTGTTAAAGACAGAATGGTTTTATCCCTGAAAATCATTAGCACCACAAGCAAAGGAAACACATTCACCTAAGAAGACATTAATAGTGTCTGATGAATAGAGATACTTTTGCAAGCAATCTTGATTACTTCTTTTCATATCTACTCATAAGCAAAGCAGAGAGAGAACTTTTGATGCCACTCCTTTTATGCAGTTAAAATGCATGGAATGCAATTGTAGTAGTAAACATTCTTATGCAAAATAACATCAAGGACAGAACTTCACTGACATGTATAAATCAGCAGCCTATACCGGGAAATAAATACGCAAATGCTGGAGATTATGTTCATTTTGAGGATGTCAGAGATCAAACACCAATCACCAATATATACTACTCAGTCATTGATGAAACATCATTTCATGCATGCTCTTTGATTTGATCGTGCATGCAACATAATATCGTCAAGTAATTGTTCAAATCAAAGCACTACCTGATGCATTCTTTGGATTTCAAGTTCTTATCGAAGCTCGGTGCAGATATTCTAGTAAAATTTTGAGATAGTCAAGGGTGTTCCATACAGCGTTTCACACCACCACCATATTTGTCAAGGAAAGAGGGGATAGTGATTATGAACCCACATCATCACTACTTTAATCATCTCTCTCGCTATTTCAATCTGCTTCCTAGCAACTGTTACAGTCCCCTCTTTCGATTGATCACCAGCTGGAAGATGTTGGGGGAACCAACTGGCACATATATTCAAGCTTAATTTGCTCAAATTCAATTACCTGAATACATGTGCCGGTTAATGGTTTCTCCACCTTTCCTCATAATGAAGCCAACCTGATATCAAAGTTCCATTCAAATAAGTTATTGAGGAGACCAACAACAACAATCCTTATGGTAGACATGACATGTTAACAGAAATTACAGATGATGGTTCCTTCTTTTAAATCTTTTTTTCATTAGCAGTTAGTCCTCTATGAAATTCTGATATCATTCTTGATCCAGAGATTAGATGACATGTTACAAAACCCAGCCCAGAAATCGGAACACATTGTTGTTGGCAGTTGCCCCTTGCTGATTGCCGTCGAGATTAGCACTAATGAACATTCCTACTAAGCACTACCCCCAACTTAGGCCAGGATTCTTTTGGATATCGTTATCTCTCATCATTTTTCTAACAAAAGCAGATGATCCCCAGTCCCCAGAAATGGCAAGCATATTAGATAGTTGCACAAATGCAGCTGAATTCTCAGGATCAAGACTGATAATTTGATCAACTACTTCCTTCCCAAGAGTTTTATTCCCATGAGCAACACATCCTCTTAAAATTGTGGACCACATGCCAGCATCCGCATTAAATGGCATCCGTTCTATGAGATCAATAGCTTCTTCAAGGCATCCAGCACGTGCTAAAAGATCTATCATGCAAGAGTAGTGTTCAACCCCAGGATCAATATGATAATCATCTTTCATTGCAATAAACCATTTCTGAGCCTCCTCTATCAATCCACAATGATTACAAGCAGAGAGCACACCTGTAAATGTGATATTGGTCGGTGAAACATCAGAATATCTCATCTGATTAAATAAATCAAGTGCTTCATATCCATGATCATTCATGGCATAACCAATTATTATGGAGTTCCATAACACGGCATCATGTTTTTCGGCTTGATCAAAGAGTTTTCTACCATTCTCAAGAAAACCACACTTGAAATAAAAATCAATGAGGGAGGACACAACAATTTGATCATAATCAAGGCCAATTCGAGTGGCTCTAGCAAACACCTGTTCACCTAGTTCTATTGATGAAATGCTGGCGCAGGCACTAATGGCACTTGCTAAGCTGAATTTATCCATACTCAAATTATGGCTGTTCATATTGCAGAAAAGATCCAAAGCTTCAAGGGGACAACCATTCTGACTCAGACCGACTATCATGGAATTCCATGAGATCAAGTTCTTGAAAATCATATTCTTAAATATAATTTTTGCATCATGAATCCTACCACAACTGAAATAGATGCTAATCATAGAATTCAGCAAAACAATGTCAGACGCTTCAAGTCGATCATACAAAGCACAAGCATCAAATGGTCTTCCACACTTGGCATATGTGTCAATAAGAGCACTCGCAACAATTAAGTCATCACTGTAACCCAACTTACTAGTATCACAATGAAGTTGCTGACAAATTTCAACAACAGCTACGCTACCGCAGGCACTCAAAATACTGGTAAATGTAGAAGAGTCCCCCACAATTCCCTGGTCCCGCATCTTATTGAAGAGCAGTAGAGCTTCCAATGGTTCATCATTTATTATATAACCGGCAATCAAAGAATTCCATAAAACAGCACAATGATCACTTCTTAAGTGAAACGTTTTAAGGGCATCATCCATCCTACCACAATTAGCATACCCAGTTATTAATGCAGAAAGAGAGAAATCATCCACGTGTTGCATGCTGTGCATAACATGACTTGCAGCGTTTACATCACCGCATTTTGAGTATAAATTAACCAGTGAACTCCCCAACACAGCATCAAACTCCACCCCCCTTGATACAATGTTTCCGTGAATCTGCTTTCCTACGTACAAGCCTCCTAAATCCGCACAAGCCCCAATTGCAGTTGTTAAAACAAAAGTGTCCAAACACAAAGAATCCCCAATTCTCACTCCATCCGACTTCAAGTAATCGTTAAACAGACTTAAAGCTAAATGAGGACAACCATTTCGAACGTACCCATGCATCAAAGAGTTCAAAGAAATTGCAGTTTTGTGTGGCATCTGGTTAAACAACCCACAAGCAACATCTAATTCACCGGCTCTAGCAAGATTTGGAATCATTACATTCCAAGAATAATCATTTCTAAATGGCATTGATCTAAATATCTCCATGGATTCCTTAATCCTTCCACATTTCACATACCCTTCAAGTAAAGTGTTCCAAGTAAAGACATTTCTCTGAGTCATTTCATCGAAAAATTTTCGTGCATCGCCAATTTGACCACACCTGGTGTACATTTGTAGAAGGCGATTCGTAAGGTTCAAACTCACATTAAGGATACCCCTCTTGAGGAAAAGGAGGTGGAACTGCTTCCCTTGTGGAATATGGTGGGAGCCATTGAAGGAGTTCAGTAAACGAGCATAGGAATGTAAATCATACTCCATGCACAGAACTATTCAAATTTAGCCGTGGAAATTAATCCTGAGAAGCGAGAACAACCTTTAACCCACCAAAATTCAGGAACTCATCTATTCAACTAATTTACTCCTCATTGTACAAACTGTAATCAGCAATATACGTTGGATCCATAAAGGTTTTCATCACGGGCCATATTTGAGCAGTTACACCTGAAGAGACAAGAACTCTTCAAAGAGTGACCAATCAATTCAAAGTTTCAACTGTGTTCTACAAGTTCTTGCCTTTGCCCCAACTAAACCCATAAAAATTCTTGTCAGTTAATACACAATATAGTAACTGATATGGTAAAAAAAATTGGCTTCTTTAGTGGTCAGAGAATCAAAATATTTGATTAGCAGAAAAGAGATTACTTGTTGAGGAATCCAAATTTAAGTCCCAACCAATTAAGCTATCACAACAAAATAAAGCAAAGCACGTATCATTTCAAACAAGCAAAGTGAGATACCAGCGAACTGGATCTTGTTATGACAGAAACAGGGGATTGTAGCTAAAGAGAAAAAAACATGGAACATTCCAGAATTTTCCATGGGCAAATTAGTGCTAACAACCGCACAACATCGAAACTGAACTAAGAACCACTGATAAAAGTCCCTAACCTGAACTCCTGATGATAAAGCGTTCAATATAAGGGATGACAAAAACTTCAAATGTTTTGGGTTTTGTTTCTTTACCAGTGTAATCAAACACAGAGATTAATCAAAAAAATATAAAAATAATTCATATAAGGTGTACATTGGACTTAAGCGATGATTTTAGTTTTCGAAGCTGATTATAAAATTGAATTGTATGGAGAAACGGGGTAAGCCTCGAGAGTTAGAACCAATCAATTACCATACGTCATTGATTAAGGAACCCAGGGATAACCAACAAGTTCATGAATATTGTGCATCAGTATGCATTCTATTCTTCTATCGTTTTACATATGGAATTGCCAAGGATCAACCAATGTTTTCTTTTTAACCTCATTTTATACGATCTTAAGTAAAATTCTTGTAATCTATCAGGGTTCTGAGTGACAGAGTGAGTACTGAGTTATGCATTGGGTAACAGATGCATATACTGAACTATGGTCCAATAACTGCCTCATTTCCCCTGAAGTACGAGGACATCACATTTGCATGTACCCAACCCAACGCATTATGCAGGATTCAACGGAACAATACCCGAAGCAAAACCTACAACCAATCTAACAGAACAATAATAAAAAGAAATAAGGCATCGGACCAAACAAAACTAATGCGGATTATGCAAACCATTACAAATTAAAAATAAAAAATAAAAAATTGACAAACTCGTGCTCTCAGGAATAAAAACAAACACTTTGCGTACAGGCCGCAAAAGAGCTGGAACAGTTTCCAAGGGTAACAAAATCTGAAGCAAGGATGAACACAAATTCAACTTAGGCGTAGAGGAACATAGATTCAATTCACGAAGAGAATGAGGTAAAAACCTCTTTTGATACTGACCACCAAAACAAACTTTGATAACTAACACAAGTCACAAACAGAATCTTACCTTCCCTTCCAGTTCTAGTTAGTTCTCTTTCTTTTTCTTTCGAGTGGCAATCCAACAAATGTATGTATACTTGAAAGAAAGAAGACGAAGGCAGATTTTTATTTTATCAGAAACGAACAAAGAGAAGACTCCCGCTTTATACCAACGGTTTTGATTTTACTGCCCTAGGGAAAGAAGGCATAATTAGTTCGAATCTTTATTTTCATTTTTAATATAAATTATAGTAAAACAAAAATCTTAATTAGACAATAATTTTATAAGTATTTAAGTTTTTTTTTAGATAACTAGTTTACATAGCCAATAAAGGGGGATACAAAACTCTTAATTGAGACGAACAATGTAACACAAATATTTTTTACACGCTAAACACGTTGTCTCATCTTAGAATTTATTTGTTAACACCACTTAAGACTTAAAATTATTTAATTAAGTACTTTTCAAGTTCAATAAGTTTGATTTTTAAAAAAAACTGAACTTCTTAATGGATTAAGATGCGTTAATTTGTAGTGCAAGATATAAACAGAAAATTTCAGCTTAATGTTAATTTTTTAATTACTTAATGAATTCGGCATTTCTGTTTTAACATTTAACGTTATAAATTAAACACTACTAGTAATTTTTATCAAACGGCCAGAGTATATGGGGTTTTCCTGATCTCTAGAACTACAATTTTTGGAAAATTATGGGTGCACCATATTCAGGGTAAAGCAACAACTGAATAGTGGGGGCATGTTGGTAATTTGGGGAGACCCCAAAAGAGAAGCGTTGTAAAATCTTGCCGATGGCTATCTTTGCTTGCAATGTTGCGAGGTTTTGGCCAATGCATCCACGGGATCCTAACCCGAAAGGCATGTAAGCCATCAAACAAGACTTTGTAGCGCAGCCTATACCTTGTTTAAATCGATCCGGGTTAAACTCGTTCGCGTCGGGGCCCCATAATTCCGGATCATGATGAACGGCCATGATTGGAACAAGGAGTGCGGTTCCTTGGGGAATTTGAAGGCTTCCCAGTTGTACATCAACTTTGGCTCTTCTTATTGTTGCCACCACCGGTGGATAGAGTCGTAGAACTTCGTTCAAGATGATCTCCAGCTACATTATATAGTTGGTATAAAAAGGAAAAGTGAAAATCAGCAAAGGAAAAGAGACAAAAAAAAAAAAAAGAGCGCATAATGTTATTAGAATATGAACATAGAGTTGTGTACTCCACAATTATTATTAATAGTGACGACATCTTAATATAGTTCCATAAATGACGTTTCACTTCTATTCGTGTCAGATGTTTGAAATTGTAAAAGTGCAATATGGAGTTTTGAAATCTAATTATGAATGACGGAAAAATCTAGTATACAACAAATATGAATGACTCCATTATATAATTGTCGAAATCTATCCCTCCACGTTAATTCAAACATACATCTATAAAAAATGGTAAAGGTGTAGTAGTACGTTGTCGTTTTGATAAATCATTATTTGCCAACTTTTAACTTCAGATTTGGTATTTGCTAATCAGAAAGGGGAAAAATATAAAACTACCAAATACACACCCTAAAACAAAACTATAAAAAGTAAAGAAAATGAAAAAGAAAACAATAAAGTAAATTCAGGAAAATCAGTGTGTTACCGTCTTAAGCTTGGGAAGATCATCTTTGGTTGGTGTGGCACGTGATCCGCACACACTCAAAACCTCCTCACGTGCCAGTTCCTGCCACTGAGGATGCACGGCCAATAAGATCGTCCACGTCAGCAAATTTGAGGTGGTGTCTTTTCCGGCGAAGAAGAATGTTTTGCATTCCTCAACGATGTCATCGACGGTGATCATAACGGCGGCGGAGGGAGCGGCGGATTCGTTATTCCGGCGTTTTCCTTATTAAAACCAGAAATCATGAAGTCCAACAAATCATTTGGACGTGATGATACGGGTGAATACATTTTTATAGGGCTGGAATATTTTGTATTCCTTCGTTTGTCTATCAACTTCGTTATCGATTCTCTGATTTCCTTTTCCAATCTCCAACAGTTTCTGTTTGTTTCAGTGGGCAAAAACCTACTTTGCACCAATGTACATAAACAAGGGAAAACTTAATTAATGCATAATCTTATGCCATGCAAGTTGAATATCGGAGAATCTCATATTTAACTGATTTCGGCAAGTTTATGTTTGAATCGTTTTTTGTAGTATGTATTTTTAGGTTTTTTTATTAAAAATATAAAAAGAAATATCAGAAATGTAAAAAAATATATATTAAGATGAGACTGATATTAATACACTGCTAAAAATTTTTGAAAAAATCTACTACTAAAAAAGGAACCTAACGGATTAATACTCCCATGTCCCAGAAAATAAATCCATATTGACTTGTGAGATTTGCACTATTTTTTGTGCAAAATTCAAAATTCAATGTGAATTATTTTTCTGAGACAAAAGGTTATAGTACTTATATTTCTTAAGAGGGAAGACTTTCCATAATTTTGCTGGTAATTAATATTGTTCCCATAAAAAATGGTTTCTTAATTGTTAATATCGCGTAGGTATATTTTACATTAAAAAAATAAAAGAGAACATAGTAGTACTAAAAAGTGTGAAAAAAAATCTCATAATTATTATCATTATAATTCAACAGGATATTTTTATTTTATGTAACAATACATGCAATGAAAATTCAAAAGGAAAATTTGTAAGAAATTAATATTGATTAATCACATTGTTCATATCTAAATTGTATCTCCATGAGTTAACTGATGAATAGAAGGTTAGATAATTAATTTAGATTTAATTACGTCAATTTCTTGTAATTTGTTTCAAAAGATTTTTTTCGTATCACTATTTATTTTTAAGATTCCAGATATATCAAGGTGTAGTAGTCTATATATTTCAATGTTGAAGCTAATATAATAGTATTTCATCTCGTCGATTGATTATAATCATTGATGACTCAAATATATATATATATATAACAAAAAAAGTAACTAGTATAATATTAGAAAACTTCAGTAATCTTTATATATATATATATATATATCTTTATATATATTAAGGGAGAGTTTTCAATCAGATACATGGCGCAAAATTAGACAAGCTAATCCACATGGCAAAAATTTAGATATTCAAGTCCACATGTCGCACCCACATCACTCCATCATTTAATGACAATTTTTATTTGTAAATTCATAAAATCTATAAATAACCAATTTTATCTAGTTTAATGTTTATATCATTAAAGGAAATAAGTTTTTTCTAAAGTAACTCTATTTGTGAATTTATTTGCGAAAATTTAGACAAGCTAATTCACGTGGCAAAAATTTAAATATTCAAGTCCACGTGTCGCACCCGCATCACTCCATCATTTAATGATAATTTTTATTTGTACATTCATAAAATCTATAAATAACTAATTTTACTCAGTTTAATTTTTATGTCATTAAAGAAATAAGTTTTTTCTAAAGTAACTCTATTTGTGAATTTATTTATGCAGATAACCTAAATTAAAATAAAAAACATGGCCCAACCCTTTGCAATGCTAGATGGACTAAATCTCTCCATTATCGACCACCATTTCATTAGTTTTAATATTCGTTCCAAATCTGGGGCTGCGAAAACTCTTCTCTTCCTATATCAATATGATACTAATGATTCAATAATCTCAGAAAAATAAACGATCATCAAATAATATCTGATAATACTATTTGAATCATAGTCTTTTCTAAGACTATGCAATCATTAGTAAAATATTTGATATTCATGTGTTAATTAATAGAAGATATGATAGTTGCTTTGCTAGATAAATTCCGGTAGATTAACTACTCTCCCCTCTCTACGTCATAATATAATCAGTCAAAAAAATCTCTCTCTCTCTATATATGTTTATATTGTATATATAGATATATATCTATCTCTATATTATTATAATGAAAGTTTTCCATCGGACACATGGCGTGAAATTAGATAGGATAATCCACATGACATAAAATTAGAGAGCAAAATCCACATGTCACAACCACATAGCTCCATCATTTAATGGTGATTTTTTATTTATAAATTCGTAAAATATATAATAGCAAATTTTACCCGACTTAATTTTTGTCATTACGCACAAATAATTGTAACCATAATATTTAAAAAAGGAAATTCAACCAACATTCGGAAAAAAAAAAAAGGAAAAAAAACCCAAACACAAAATCCAATATTTAGAGAATCACCACTGGCTGCATCATTGTTTTCTCAATTTCGGTAATTCACGGGGAATGCTTTTCTTTACGACGAAGCAAGAAAAACCATACCCCTCTTTCTTGCCGCAAAATACAAAACAAAAAAAAAAAAAACCATTTAATTGATCACAATCATTAATTAATCAGTCATGGCCAGAATGATTAGCGGTATTGACTTATTTATACGCACAAAAACAATGAAATGAATTAGGGTTAATAATATTGTATTGGATCAATTAAGGCGGGGGATTTCATGAAGATTAATTACGTTTTCATCGGATCTATTTATTTCTTACTACATGATTTAAATTATAATATTAAATTTAACCATAATTAGATATCAGTATCAAATAAGATAAAATATATAAATTAATTTATCTTTTACAATATTAACACTTCCAGATAAAAAATAAAAATAAAAAGATGTATATTTTCAGTTGTCCATAACCAAAATTGTTTCATCGTATTTAAACTAATTAATACTCAACACCAATGCTAAATAGTCTTTTTTTCTTTTTTTGCTTTTTTCTTTGCATTTGCACCTTGAAATTCAAGTGTGACATGTGATGTTTATCGATAAATCTTCTAACCATAATGAAAATTGATAATTTACAGCAAAATATAAAAAATTCAATTAGATGATTTATTTTATCTTTTCCATAAGACATAATTGTAGAAAAAAATTAAATATGGTGATAAAACAAAATGTATAGATGTAAAGGGTGAAAACATTTCAAAATGAGAAAAAGAATAAAGATCCTTGTGAGAGACAAATAGTTAAAGAAGTATATTGAGAAATAAAAAATAATTATATGGAGGAAAAAAACATACAGAGAATAAGAAAATCTAAAAAAAAGAAACCGAGGTAATAGTTAAAAAATTAAATGATTATTTCAATTTTTTCAAGAAAGGAATCCTTAAAGAGAGGTTATCTAATTAATTAATTTTTAAAGAGAGGTCATTGAATTTAGGAAAAAAGGTGAAGGATATACAACCAAAAAAAACATGAAGTAAATGTTATATTATAAGCAAAATATACGAACGAACTTCTAAAGAAAGGTTCCGAAAAGTATATAGAGATATAGAAAATAAAGATAAGTTTATGAAAAAAAATAATGAAAACATTTTCTGTTAGAGGGTGAGTTTAAAAAATATGCCACGGGTAGGAATATTTAGAGGGATCATTATGAAAAAATTAAGAAAATATTTTTAAAAGATATAAAATCATAAATCAAAAAAATGAAAAAGATGAACGATAAATTACATTGGATAATGCTAAATATTTAAAATTATTCTAAATATACTTAAAATAACATTAAAAATTATACGATGCAATTTGTATGATTACTATATTTTTTTAACATATATTACTCCGTTAGAATTGTCATATAATCGTTAAATTATTAATCTCATATATATCCTAAACAAATCCGCACAACGTGAATGGTAAGCACTAGTGTATATATATATATATATATACATATATATATATAACACAATGAAGAAGGTTGAAACCTAAATTAGTAATATTTTTAAAAAAATTTGACTGTTCCAATTAAATTTCGATGATTATGTCGGTTAATCTATACCAAATTACGACTATATGTCTTAACTATCTCATGAATATGATGAATTAATTATTATTATACCTGTAACCAGGAGTGAATATTTTTTCAAAAGCTTTAGCGGCATAAGCCATCTGTTGAGCTTGAAGTTTGTAAATGGCTCTCCCCTCTTCTTCATAGCTAATCCCAAAGGCAGCTCGAGCCATGACCTCTTCGGCTATGTTTTGGAACCATTCTGAAACGTCAATCTCCACTTTGCTGCCATCATCTTCCGATGATGACATTAATTTCAACCATTGCTTCAACATTTTCTCCATACTAACCCCAATTAACGGTACCATTAGCTATATAATATGATAAACATAAAGAAGTTAGCAAACCCAAAACATAGAAAAGAACTGATTTATACTTACGTTTCAAAATAAGAGTCATACATAACTCTTTATTTTGTATCAGCGGAAATATAAATTTTTTGGAAAATTTGTTTAAAGGGCAGTAAAACATGTTAAATTAATAAAAGAGGTATGATCTTAAAATATTTTATATGAAGGATCTCAAAATGAATATAATTTTATAATTACTTAATTATCCTTATTTTTTTCTATTGCCTTTTTATAAAGTGAAATTAACACAATAAAAATCAATCTCCTGAATTTCGATGATTTATGCTCTTGCTGATCTTCTGGTTGCTTTCAAACATCCCTTTTAAATTCCTGAACTTCTCTCAAACTTCTTAAATCTTTTGAAATTCTGCTTTGGATTCTTTTGCTAATTGTTCCTATTTTTCTCGTAATCGCTCAATGTTTCTCGGCATGCCACATGAGTGCAGGAAAAATTAAAGAAAAAAAGAAACGAATCAACGAGAGAAGGGATTCAGGCTCAAAAGGGCAAATCCCATTATCGTTTTAATTAATCATCTCTTTATTGATTGTAGCTTTGTGTTTCGATCCAACAAGGACCAGGGAGAGGGAAATTCTGCGCCAAATTGCTTGCGCTTGAGACTTGAAAATATGAAGAAATCTGGGTCCCTGATGTTTAAATGACTTGTAATGGAACCTCAAATATTTTTCATGGAAAAAAGACATTCTTGAATAATTCGATTCTCTGCATAAGTCTTAAAACCTAAATCAATTAACTTTCCTCACAAAAAAAAAAATGAAGATTTTGGCTGGGTAAAAAAAGGCATGAATAGGGTCGATGGATTTTGGCTTTTGTTTTATTAACTTCTTTTTTGAAGAAATTATAAGGTGAGAGTGCTATTGTCAACTTAAAGTATTTTTGTTTTATGATTTTCGATAAATAAGTTATCACCCTTCATAAAAAATATTTTAAGGTCATACCTCTTTTATTAATTTAATCTATTTTACAGCCCTTTAGCCAAATTTTTCCTAAATTTTTTGCGCAAATTAATCTTATATTAATGAAAAATAAATTACCTTAAGATTTTCTAGGTAGAAGGCTGGTGAAATAACCTTTCTGTGGTGAGCCCATTTGATCCCTTTTAGATTTAAAAGGCCATCACCTTCAAGCTTTTTGAGAAGAAAAGGTGAGTCGATTTTCTCAAAATATTCAGACTTTGTAATGAAAATGTCCTTGAGTAGGGTAGGATCAGCTTCGGTTACACGAGCCGTAAGCCCAAACCATAGCAGAAGAGTTGATCCTGCAATTATAGCGAAATATTTAGGAAAATTCTTCAAAAAAAAAAAATGTTCCCTCCCTCTTAAAATTATTACTCGATTTTTATTTTCAGTATAAATTAGATTAAAAATAAAAATCAATCCGAACAATAATTTTTTTGGCCAAAAGGAGTCTATCTTTATATTATGGACAAACTCACTTTTGGTCCCCAAAGTTTGAGGGTAACGAGACCCAGTCACCAAAAACTTTTTCTCAACAAAATTAGTCCGTTAAGTTTTTTTTCACTAATTTTAATTAATTTAACGAAATTTTTGGTCAACTAATATGTCAACTCTTTTCTCCGTTCTTTAATTTTTTTTTTTATCAATTTTCTATTGAACTGGAATCCACTAGTTTGACCCAGCCAAAAATCTATCTTCACCTATTTAAAACAACTACCATTAAAGAACAAGTGACAGTTTCTCGTCAAATATTTTTCCACCTAAAATCAAACTCTTTGTACATTAATTAATTAATTGTATTATCATCATTTGGTTTATAATCGTGCAAAAAAGTCTATCTTTACATGTTTAAAGCAGCTATCACTAAGGGGGTAAAGTAGCAGTTTCTCATCAAATATTTTTCCGCTCACAATTAAACCCCTTGTAAATTAAATAATTAACTATTTAATTGTATTATTATTTTTTGGATTATAGTTATGCAAAAAATAAAAATAAAAGCAAAGTTTTTATGTACAACAATCTATCTTTACCAATTTAAAGCAGCTGACTTCCTACTACTAAGGACAAGTGACTGCTTCTCATCAAATATTTTTCCGTTTAAAATTAAAATTTTTGTAAATTAATTAATTGTGTTATCATTATTTGTTTTATAATTATGAAAAAAACAAAAGTAAAGTTTTTAGATACAACAATTCTACTTAATACATATATTAATTAGATCCAAACTGTCTACATTCATTACTCATTTAGATTATAATAATCACTCAAATTTTATTTCTCAAATTACTCAAACTTAATTAACATAATTAAATTCAAAAATCAACATATCAATCCACATACAAAGAACATGAGTTGCAAAACTCAATCAGAGTAAACCAATACTTTTAACCGTCCAAAAAATTAATCTAATCAACTACAAGAGCTAAGGATGGCAAGAAGATATAATACCATCGTCACAATATATAAGTTAATAGATATATATATATATATAAATTTTAAATTATTTAGTGTTTTTTAAAATGGCATCTGGGCAATGGCCCGGGCTGTATGACACTAATAAAAGTTCATCTCATTGATGAATCGCTTTTAAGTGTAAATTTCTTCCAAATCATTTTATATATAGATCATAAATTATTTCATTTTAAAAGACGACTGTAGGGTCTATTTAGGAGTTAAGGATCTCCTACGTCACAATCTTATAACAGTTTTTAATCCACTCTAACCCACCATTAGATGAATCTGTCGGTGTCATGTGTCACAATTTTAGTGAGTGTGTAGGAAGTGGTGTAAGAGATATTTTATTCTATTTAAAACAAAATTTAATTGTATATAAAATTATGATGCGGCAGAAGGGAAAAAATAATCTATTTGACCAGCTATGACTAACGATTTTTGTTATTTACTAACGAAACACAAGATAGAGTTATGTTACCATGTATCTTCCTCCAATGATCATAAGAAGGAAAGAACTCTTGGAAGGATGTTGTGGAGAGAGGCATTGGTTGAGATGACGCCTTTGACGTCAAATTTCCAATCTCCTTCAAATTTCCCAACAGGAAACTATATTTTGGCCCTTTGATTCCTTGCACGAAGAAATGGTGTTCAATTCTTCTTGGTATATACCAGAATTGAAACCAAACTTTTTTACACACAAATATAGCCGCAATATCCACAATGATAGGCACCCACCAAAAATGAAATGAAATTTTGCACACAATTATAACTGTAAAATGCATGATGAGAAGCCAAAACCATTGAAACCTTCCACCCATGGTTATGTATCTTTCTTTTTTTTTTTCCTAAGTGACTAAGAGAAGGGATTGAGTGAATAATGTGTTTATTAGAGAAATGTGAGAAAAATACACACAGTCACACACCCAACCCGCGTATATATTAAGATAAATACTTTAAGTCATTCCGGTTAATTAATTAATGAGATTCAATCCTCCGAAATTAGAATTAATACGTAACAATTTACCTTGTTGGCACACATCTATATATATATATATATATATATTATACTAAGAGAAAAATCAGAGAGAAAAAATCAAACCTCTCCTCCCGTTGACACGTATGACAAAATCTTATGTGTCAGTTTCCAATTGGTTGTAACAAAAAATATTTCCAACATTTACACCGATAGTCCTCTAAATTTTAAATCTTATACTAAACCCGGGAGATACACAGAATTTGGGTACTTATTTTTATAATTAAAATATTTAAAAATTAAAAAAATTGGTAAAAAGGTTGTATTAATTTTTGGTAAGTAATATTAAATAAATATAATTAAGTAGGACAAAATAACTATTGTTGTATACTTGTGTGAAATTTAAAAAATATAAATATGAGTTAAATTTTATCAGTGAAATATAATAATACAACTACTAAAAATAATGATTGATAAATGAGTAAGAAGAAAAAAGTAATTATAAAAGAAGAGAATGATTTCACGTAGTGAAATGACTGTAATATTCATGATACAGAAGATGGTAAGGTAAACTACTCATTGTAGGGATGCTTGTTTGACTTGTAATTTCTTGTATATTCGTCTAAATCAAAGTTGGTGATTTATTTGGTCTCTTCCTCTCCATCCTCAATAAGCTTTTGAAATTTTCACATGAGTTTTTTGTGGATAAAAGTTAGAATCTTTTGACCCTGCCAATCACAATCATATTATAAAAAAAAAAAACAATTGAAATCATTAGGAATATGACGATAAAATTTTGCATTACTTTTATGAAAATACACTTTAAAGTTCTATAAACACTGAAATATGTTCGTAACCTGTTCGTCAATAAGTAACGCTTCAACAGATGCGTTCGTCCTGAAAGACGTTATCCATACGTTGAGAATTCGAACATTGACTTTCCAGTCAGACTTGACAACCATGGGTGTCAAGTCTTTTATGAAATCGTATGTGTTGTTGTTGCTGGAGGTCGATATTGAAAGAGGTGTTTGATGTTGTTTGTACCGTCGTCAGAAAAGAAAATGCCAACAATTACACCAACAATTACAACAAGTACCCAAATCCCGTGCATCGCACGGATTTAGTATAATACAGTTTCTTTTATTTAAATCTTAATAATTAATATTTCATAAGATTTATACACATATTATACCCATTTTTATATTTTCTTAAAAAAAAGTATAAAAAAAAATTGTAACATATCCCGCACATCGTGCGAGTTTAACATCTAGTATATTTGAGAATAAATTCACCAAATAGAAAAGGAAAAGATAAAAGAGGAAATGATCTGATATTGGAAATTTTTTTCATGTTGCATGAAACGAATCCGGCTTATACCTCTCGAAAAGTTGGGAGTATCTTGCAAACAAGATATTAAATGAAGAAAGAAATAAGCTGCTAAATACATGTGCTTGCGATTTTTTTTTTTTTTTTTTCTGTAATAAGGTTGGTGCAGTGTATAGTAGGTAATGTTATTACATAACAGTGTACGGTCTATGTCAAATATCCTTTGATTTTATTATAGAAAAAAAGTATCAAAGTAATTATGCAAAGAATTGCAACTAATGTGACTAAATCTTCTGCCGATAATAGATGACAAGTACTCCCTCTGTCTCAAAATTATTGGTTAGTTTGAGATTTCATTTTTAGTACAATTTGAATTAAAAACGAAAATTTAAACTAAACAATAATTATAGGACAGAGAGTATATTTTTTCACAAACAATACTAGCTAGGAAGAGCAGTTATGTAGTTTATACAGGGGGAAGTTCGACACATTCAAATGGTTTAGGATCGAAATCTTTGATTAAATGATTCCGACGTGCATAATGATTGAATTTTTTGGTCAGAGTCTTTCACCATATTTAAAGTTTAAACCTCAAAGTTTGCAATTACAATCTTCTCACTCTTATTATCCTTCACAACCCTCTAACTATTTTTCTACATGCGACGTATTTCTTCCGATCTAAATGAATTTTATGACAAATCAAAATGACTAAAGAGAATAATATTTAATTTAATTGATGGATATTGATTTTTAACGAGACAAATAATTATTGTAAAAGAACATACGGTATAGTAACCAAAATTTGTGTTAAATATTTAACTATTATCAAAGAATATAAGATAAAAAATTTTAACAACATCTGTATGTATTCGCTCAAGAAAGATCTCTAACAATTACAATTTCAACGGACATGTACAGGCCAAGAAATCAGCTACATGAACTAGTTTCACGTCCAAATCTCACCTCAGCGACTCAGAAATTCCTAACCATTAATCCGTTTAATCTTTCAACTTGCAGTCTAATAATTTAAAAAGTTTTTTTTTCTGCATATATATATATATATATATTGCTAACAAAAAATTTAATTACGAACTTCAATAATTATATTCTTTTCTGGAGGCTCATAGACTGGTACTTGTATACATATCATCGTCTATTACTCAATATCATCATCTTCTACATGTTATTTTCTTCATACGCAGCCATTTCATCAGGTTCACTCTAATTTTCCTGATGTGTCCGAATTATGATAGTCTATTACTCAATATCATCGTCTTCTACATGTTATTTTCTTTGTACGAAGCCATTTCATCAAGTTCACTTTAATTTTAAAAACGTTGCAACACACGTCATTCTTTCGCGTTTAAATTAGTCTCTTCTTTTTCTTTTCTTTTCTTTTTTTAAACAAAACGAACGATGTTATAATTATTCGTCAGAATTGTCCTCAGAAGTGCATTGAAAGAACGTCCAATGATACCATACCATCTAGTTAGTCATTGCATAAATGATTTATTTATTTATTTGTTGGGGTTTTAGTATTCATGAAAAAAAAAGAATGTAAATATTTTAAGGAATGAACATTTAATTTATACTCCCTCCGGTCCGCAAATAATATGGAGCCCCCGGTGCGCTCTAGCGCGCATAGTGCGTCTGCTCATTGCTTTTTTTTTCTTTTTGAATTTTAATTTTGTATTTTAGTTATTTTAATCTTTAAAATATTTTCTGAGTAAAATTTCAGTCAGTTCTTACACATGCAATTAATAGATTAGGGTCTAGTGTGTGACATAACATGGATAACTTATTAAATTTTTTTAATCTAATTATAATTGGATTAAAAAAATTTAAACCAAATAAAAAATTAATTTGTTTAGTGTTTAAGGTTTAGGAGGGTTTAAGCATTTCAATTAAATTAGGGTCTAGTAATTAGTATTTAGAGTTTAGGAGGGTTTAATTATTTTAATTAGGTTAGGGTCTAGTGATTAAGGTTTATGGTTTAAGAGACTTTAAACATTTCAATTATGTTAAGATTTAGTGTATAACGTAACATGATTAACTTATCAATTTTTTAATTTAATCAAGCTAGGACTTTAGCCTAATTAAATCAAAAAATTAAAACGAATAAAAAATATAGTGTGTTTAGTGTTTAGGATTTAGAGAGGTTTAATCTTTTTAATTAAATTAGATGTAAAATTAATAAAAATAATACAGTTTTTAAAAAATTTAAAAAAAAAAGAAAAAGAAAAAAAAAAAGGGTGAGTGCACGTCCAAGCACGCGCCCACAGCCCGATGCTACCTAAATAGGTAGCACCCGATGCCCCATAGAATAACTGCCTCCGGTCCTTATTATAAAGCATTTTGATTTTTCTTAGGTTTCACTTAGTACACATTTTTAATTGACCAAAAAACCTTCAAAATATATTTTAACATTCGTTGTGTTCTCTTGATTGTCATAAAATATTTTTAAGATTTTTTCGTCGATTGATAATGAACCTAGGATAAATGAAAATGCCTTATATTAAGGACTGGAGGGAGTATAAGATAAGATTAGGTTATCAAAGAAGAAAATTTTCAAAAAAATTTATGTGATATAACATCATTGGGCCGAACCTTTTCTAAAAAAGGTCCTCACAAATAATATTCTCATATAGTTTCTTTTTTTTTTTTTGAAAACGTTACTATATATTAATGAGAACTTAGTCTATTACAGTGCATTTTATGATAAGCTAGTTTGTGAACTTCCTCCACCTCTAATCTACTTGCCTTAGTAATAAGACAATAATTAAAAGTAGTACTTAAAATTCTTAAAAGCGATGCAATTTCTTGGGCCTCCGTCGAGATTAACGGGCTATTGAGGTCTAGAATTAGCATCTCGCAGTCTGTGAAGACCTTAATTCGGTCCAAACTAAGTGCCGAATCCTCCCTCATTGCAAGTAGACAAGTTAATGCTTCGGTTTGGAAAGGGGATAAGGAACTAAGCGTAACAACTTTGATTTGTATAACCATATCCGTTAGAGAACTAATTTTCCAAGCTCCAGCCGCACTGTGGGATTGCGGATCATACGATCCATCAATCCAAATGGAAGAGTAATCCCTTGATGGTGATTGCACAGACCTTTGTGCAGCGTTCCTGTCATTGATCCTCATACGAAACCTCTTTTTATGACAACTAAAGTCATGATGAATCAATTGCCATTGAACAAAGGGGTCTGAATCCTGGGTCCTCCATACTTTACTGTTTATTCCCTGCCATATCCACCAGAAAATTATAAAAAAGAATTCAAGGTCCAATGCTCACGTCCCTAGTTATAACCAGGCCATGAACCGTTCTTGCAAGGAAGAAGCGGAACGATTAATGGCACTTGTATAAATTGGTGGCACTAAATCCCAAATTTTTCTGGAGTGTGGGCATTCCAAAAACCTCATATAGTTTTTTGTTCATTGTATTTACTAAATACAATGAAGGACATATTTCTTTTTCGAAAAGACAATTGACATATTTCATTTGGAGCAATATATGGGACATTGGGAGGCGTTAATGATTCCCAGTCTATTGACTTGTGCTCGATGTGAGTGGTTACCGAGGTTTGGTGAAGCAAAAAATTCTAGACATTTGGAGAAGAATAATGCAAAGTCCATTATATTATTAAAAAGAAAAAGAAAATAAGTATTGATAGAATCTTTACAAAATACAATGATTGGCATATTTCTTTTTCAAAAAGACAATTGACATATTTCATTTGGAGCAATATATGGGAGATTGGGAGGCGCTAATGATTCCCAATCTGTTGACTTGTGCTCGATGTGAGTGGTTACCGAGGTTTGGTGAAGCAAAAGATTCTAGATATTTGGAGATGAACAATGCAAAGTCCATGATATTATTAAAAAGGAAAAGAAAATAAGTATTGATAAAATCTTACTTCTTTTTTCTGAATCAGATGTCTTATATTTGGATACTGTGTATAACAAAATGTACAAATGTTTTTTATTACAAGGAAGGAAGCACAAGGCTGAAGACTTGCATCCAATGTTATCACAAATTGCAGATTATGAATCGTTTAAATCGTACTCTAATCATATATAGGTTAATGTTAAGTGGACATCAGTATAAGTTTTCAACCCATATCATACTATTTTAGCTAGAAAAGTTAAAGTTTCAAACTTTATTTTCATATGACCAAAATACAACTGAAAAAATCATATTTTAATATTTTGAACTATTATCCCCTCTGATCTTAACTATAAGGCACAAAATCAAGTTAATTTGTATTTTATAATGGATAAAATATACTTTTCGTCCCCCAACTTTTGGGGGTAGCAAGATTGAGTCTCCATGAGTTTTCAATTGATAAAAATAGTTTCCTAAAATATTTTTCTCGTCACTTTTAGTTAATTTAACAGAAATTTTCAAAAATTAACGGCAGAAATCCACCTTCCGTCAATTTCTCTTATTATATTCATTTCTTTACTGTTTGTGACTTTGTGGGACCCACTAAATTTGGCCAGTAAAAAAAAATTTAATAAAACATAAAATGAAATAAAAAAAGATGAACAAAGAACAACTTAAAAACCAAATCCATTTCTCTTCCGCAGCCACCAACCGCCGACACCACCACCCGTTCATCCTGCCGCAACAAGTCTTGCTTCATCAGATTCCTTGACAACTTATGGAGGCATCCACGAGGTTAAAGAGCAATTGGCCTGATGAAGTCAATTATGGAGTCAGTCTCGAGTAGGGGTGGTCAAAAAAAAACCGACACCGATTAACAGAACCGAAAACCGACATAAAACCTAGCCGATTAACCGAACAATCGGTTAATAGGTCTCGGTTAAACGGTTTTTCACCGGTTAATTGGTTCGTTTTTCGATTTTGCCTGCACCTTTGTCGGTTAAACCGAATAACCGATTATAGTAATTATAATTGAAAAATTATATATATATATATATATCTCATATTTCTATATCATTAATCTTTTTCATTTTGTCAAATTATTTCACTAAAATTTTTTGTTGTAATAATAACATGACTTTTGGTTGGATGAACTACTATAAAAACGAAAAAGTTTGATTTTTTTATTGTAGATTAAGAGTTTAAAAAAGATTTTTGGTATTTAATGGGTCTAAACATATAGTATGAATTACATAAATTAGAAAAACAAAGCTAAAAAAGTTGGAAAAACATCAATTATATTTTCTCCAAAAAATATGACAAATATTTTCGGTTAAACCAGTAAACATTAGTAATTAAAACGAAAACCGATAAATGGAAACTGTAAAATCGATTACTTAATCGGTCGGTTAATCGGTTTTATCTAAAATTGACAAAACCGGAATTAAGCAAAACTGATTAACCGGTAAACCGGTTAACTGGACGGTTAAACACCCCTAGTCCCGAGGTTGAAGACAGAACATGGGGTTCGAATCTGTTGTCTTCTGGGATTTGATGGATAGTGGCCTTTTGATTTTATTGTTCTCTGTTTATCATCTTTTATTTCTTGTAGTTTTTGGAGAGATTTCAAAATTGAGATTATTTTTTGTTATTACCTAGATCGGTCTACCCATATTATCCCCTTCCCTATCTCCGGGTAAAATTTTCTAAGATCTTGGGTATTAAGATTTTAGGATAAAAGGTGTCAATTTGGAACTCCAAGATTCTTCCGATAGCATTCTGTTACGGTCCTCAGGGAATTACTTTCACATTCTTCCAAGAAACTCGCCGACGGCCTGATGGAAATCGACAGCGTTTTTGACTCTCTGTTCAAAATCGTGAAAGTTCCTATTTGCCTTGCCGCAATGAGCTTCTCTCATGGTGATTTACCACATATTACAATCTAAAAGAAGTGAAAAATTAGCGTTGAAACTTGTGAAAATGGGCATGGTTGATTTGATCCTAAAAATGCTTGTTGATGGTGAAAAAAGCACATCAGAGAAAGCACTTGGGTTTCTAGAAAGTATTTGCAATTGGAAAGTGGGAAGAGAAAAGCCATGTGAAAATGCATTAATAATGCCAATTTTGGTTAAGAAAATTCTAAGGGTATCAGAATTGGCAACAAAATTTACTGTCTCAACTCTTTTGAAGCTCTGCAAAGAGGTAGATGATGAAAGCCATGTGATTGAAGCATTGCAATTTGGAGCTTTTCAAAAGCTTCTGGTGGTTTTGCAAGTTGGATGTGGTGAAATGACCATAACGAAGATCACTGAATTGCTGAAGCTGATGAATCTTGATACCTAAAATCCCAGAATGCCAAAGATCGACGCCTTCCATCGGTTTCTTCTCCCCTATATCCACCCACCAACCACCTCACCAGTTCCTCCCGCCACCAACCACCACCATGTCTCCACCAAGAAGCGCATCAGCACCCCCCTCCGGGACGACCTCGATGACCAGCCATTTCATCCCCAAGAATACCCAGAAGAAGACGACTCATCATCTTCCGAATCTCCAATTGTCCCCACAATTTTTTTTTAGAAATAAATTTTTTTTTCAGGTTAAAATTTTGTAGGCCCCACAAACGGAATGAAAATTAATATAAAAATCAGAAATTAACGGAAAGTAGGCATCACCCGTTAAGTTCAAACAAAGTATATCAATTTGATCAAAATTGATGGAAAAAAATATTTTAAGAGACTATTTTTACCAATTGAAAATACATAGTGACTCGAGGTTGCTACTCTTTAAACCTGGGGGACCAAAAGTGCGTTTTGTCCTTTTATAATTAATATTAGAATAAGTATTATAAATTGTAATCGATAAGATTCATTACTTACGTACCTTCAATTTCATATTAATTAACATCGCATCTTTATATATAAAAAAAATATATATCATTTGTTTTTCTTTAATCGAATAAATTTAGTCCGTCAGTTTATTTTTTGATTTGCTGATCGTGTATTATCTGTCAATAGATCTTGATCGAATGGGTGTTAGTAGTTTATCAATAGATCTTATTCTATTGATCGCTATTTAGTTCTTTTGTGATCGTGTGTGATCTTTAGTATATGGTTTTGTCCATGATTTTACTGTTACGTTTTATAACGGTTTATGTTCGAGGATTTGCAGTCAAAATAGATCTATGTTTTAGATATACTTTTTTCGGGAAGTGAAATATTCGAGATCGGAGATTTTCTTTGATACGTGATACTTCCGACAAGTATTTGTGGGTGTTACGGAAGAATTTGTAATTTGGTCGTTCGCAATAAAGATGATTGATTGGTTCTTCGATATAAAATTCTAATCAATTATTATATGTTAATGATTGTAATCTTCTGTCAATTGTGGTTGTACGTTTTTTAACAAAATTAAGATATAGAAACATCAAATTAAATCGGAGAACAAAATTATGTGGGGAACGAACAGTGAACACGAACATCTCTACTTTTCAATGACGGTTCATTAGTCAAGGATAATTTTATAATGATCCATAATACACATACTACATACTTACTATTTCAATTAAATTTTTACTGGATATACATCATTTTTACCACGAGCAAGCCCAATGAGATTCATTTCTATGCCAGTCCATGGATTTTTTTTTTTTTTTTGAACAACAGTCCATGGATTTGGATGTAATAAGTAACATGCCCATGTTTAAAAGCGAAAGAAAAAGAAAGTGTAACATATATAAAAGGGGAAAAAAATATAGTGTAAAATGTATATTAACCAAAATTAGAAGGGAGAGAAGAAAAGCCTAATCAAAGGCGCCAAATACGAGATCACAATCCAATTATACCAAAAACTTAACGACCGCCACAACCGATTATTTGATTCCCTGATTCTGATTCCCTCACTAAAATTTTACTTTAAGAAAAAGAAAAAAAGAAAAATCCCAAATTTGATACTCCGAGTCATCCATTCCTTTTTTCAACTTTCAAAGTTTCACCTACCATAATATTATCGCGCAATTGAATAATATATTACGGCAACCGTGACTCAAATCTGACTCCAGTTCCGATCAAATATGCATCATTGGGTTTCCTAATTAGTTAATGTTCCCATCCGTCGTATTAAACTTAGATTGTCGATTTTTGGTTAAAACTCGGTAATTTTTTAGACTAGAGTATAATACTTTCTTCGGTCTTTATTATAAAACATTTTGATTTGTCTTAAGAATTTACCTAATATGTTTTTAAAATTGAAAAGAAAACCTTAAAAATATTTTATAGCAATATTTAGGAGAATGCAATAAATGTGAAAATACATTTTCAAAATTTTTCTTTTTAATAGTAAAACAGTTACTTGTAGTTTAAATTATTAGGACAAATCAAATGCTTTATTTATTATAAAATAGGAGTATTATCATTATTATGAAATATCCTATATTTCCCCAACTTTATTAATACTTTATTTTACTTTCCATTTGAAAAGTTGTTAATTTTAATTGGGAAGGCGGAGGGAAGGTTATTTAATGCCGACTCTCACAAATCGAAACCCAAACCCAAACCTCTCCCTGGTTACCTTTTCGCCTTCCGTTAGTTTGTGTCACTCTCGCTCGCTCGTACTCACAGCTCCGGCTCTGTGAGGTATTCTTCTTCTTCTTCTTCTTCAATTTTTCCCTAATTTTGTTTTTTTGGTACTTTCAAAATTGTTTTACTATTTTGTGAGATTTAATCGCGAAGTTGTTGAATTATTGAATCTGAATTGTGATTGATTTCCGCATTGCACCTCGCTTTTAATTCAACCGTGAATTTTACCTCCGGAGGTGCCTTTTGATTTCCTCGAAGCTATTTTTGTTCTGGTTTAATCGGTTTCTGTATCTGTTTTTTTATCGCTTTCGGCTCATGCATGCCAATGTGGATGCCTAATTTTGTGGATTGTGTGTGCAAACTGTTCCATTTTTTTTGAATTTTGATTGTTGTTATGTCTTGTGCGATTGCAAATGTGTGGATCTGTGGAGCGTACGGCTTTCATATTGTACTGCTCTATTCGTGCTAGATTTATGCTTCTTATTTTTGGTCGTATTGTGAAGGTTTTTTAATGGTAGACTTAGTTCGTTCGCATGTTGATTGATTAGCCTTTCCTTTTGTAGGAAAAAGTGGCTGGTTTTTATGGATTGTGCAGTGTAGTCTCCATTTCACTTCTTTATGGTTCCACTTAGTTATGGGATTGAAATTATATTATTCCCGAACTCAATGGAGTTTTGTCTTTATCTGAAATGACTTCTAATTGCTTATTTTCTGCAAAAGATGCTGTACCTTATTTCAAGCCTGGCTTAAGGTCTTTACACGTTTGGGTCTTGTTCTTTTGTAAGTTTGCTGAGTATCTATCCTGCGGACATGATTGTGTTATAATGATTTTTACAGGCAGGAGGATGGATGGATCCACTGTTCAAATTAGTGGAAGCGCAGATTCATCGTTACGGAACTACAAGCTTGGAAAAACTCTAGGTATAGGTTCTTTCGGTAAAGTGAAAGTTGCTGAGCATGTATTGACAGGCCACAAGGTTGCTATCAAGATCCTCAACCGCCGAAAGATAAAAAACATGGAAATGGAAGAAAAAGGTAAAAATCCATACATTTGTAAACCTTTTTGGCCTTTTTCTCTGCATTTGGAGATATTCATTGTGTGCTTGTTTGATGGGTTTGCAGTTAGAAGGGAAATCAAAATCCTGAGATTGTTTATGCACCCGCATATAATTCGCCTGTACGAAGTTATAGAGACTCCCACAGACATTTACGTCGTGATGGAGTATGTTAAGTCTGGTGAGCTTTTTGATTATATAGTGGAGAAGGGAAGATTGCAAGAGGATGAAGCGCGGAGCTTTTTCCAACAGGTAAAATGCTGAAACGCTTTATTTTAAGTTTCATACGGTGGGCTTCTTTGACTGCTTTTAAAAGGCTTACAATCACTTTGCAGATAATTTCTGGTGTTGAGTACTGCCACAGAAATATGGTTGTACATCGGGATCTCAAACCTGAGAATTTGCTTTTGGATTCGAAATGCAATGTGAAGATTGCTGATTTTGGGCTGAGTAATATCATGCGTGATGGTCATTTTCTGAAGACCAGTTGTGGAAGTCCTAACTATGCTGCCCCAGAAGTACGAGGCGATGTCCTTCCAATATCTGATATTTATCTTTGATGACTTCTGGAGAAATGATTTTATCTTGTGTGCAGGTTATATCTGGGAAACTCTATGCTGGGCCTGAGGTAGATGTATGGAGTTGTGGTGTTATTCTCTATGCTCTCCTCTGCGGCACTCTTCCATTTGACGATGAAAATATTCCAAACCTTTTTAAGAAGATAAAGGTTGGTTGAGTTTGTTTGGAATGTCCAACATACCTGTAGTCATAATTTGTGCATGTAAAATTGTAACTTCATTAATGCTTTTGTTAGTATTTTCTTAAAAGATGCTCCAGTTGCTGAATTCTATTTCCATCATCGTAATGATGTGACTTGACATTTATTTATAGGGTGGCATATATACTCTTCCAAGCCATTTGTCGGCTGGGGCCAGAGATTTGATTCCAAGGATGCTTATTGTTGACCCAATGAAGCGAATGACTATTCCTGAGATTCGCGTGCACCCCTGGTTCCAAGCTCACCTGCCGCGTTATTTGGCTGTGCCTCCACCTGATACAGCCCAACAAGCTAAGAAGGTTAGGCTTATGTGTGGTTATGTGACCTCTCCAAATGTTATTTTCTGTAGGGTTACTGAATTTTATCTTATGCTTTTAATATTACCACTACATCTTATCAATTTAGAAAAGTTGATTTCTCTTGTGAGAGCATGATTAAGATAAATCTATTCCCAAATAACTCCAAATTTTATCTCAAATATTTTGGTGGTTGTATTTGTCGTCAGGTGCAAAATGTCTTTCAATCTATTAGTTTTTTTATTGTTTATTTGATTTATCAGTCTTATGCTTGTTTGATGTCTGAGGTTTACCATTTGATTACTTTTCAAATTTATTGGTTCAGAATATTCATATTTCAAGTATCTTATTTATTTTTTTTTTTTTAAAACTTTGTTAATCTCTGTCCAACAAACTAGGATTAGACTACACTGGTTTTAGGTTCATTCAATAGCTTGATATGGCGTTTTTTCTCTGGATTATATGAAGCGACAAAAAGGCTTTATCCCACTTAGTGGAATTGGTTTCGTGCATCATTTACCACCATCATGTCTGTGACTTTGCAGTTTCTTGTTTGATGAATACTATCAGCCATGGAATTGTTTTTCGTCCTGTCAACCTAACACAACCCTTTATTGTTTTCTTGTTTTTCTGGGACCGACAACTTTAAGTAAGCTGAGTTGCGTACAGAATAAAAAATTTGGTTTCTTCCTGTGTGGTTGTGCCTGAATATTTGTGTAGTTACATATTGATGTTATCATTTTGCATATGTACTGAGGTTCTTCTGAATTTATGTTCAGTATTTAGGGCTCCACCACTGATTGTTTGAGCAACTCTTTTATGCAGATTGATGAAGAGATACTTCTGGAAGTTGTTAAGATGGGATTTGACAGGAATGCCCTCATTGACTCCCTTCGCAATAGGGTACAAAATGAGGTAGCTTTCTCCTTTCTTCTTTGTTCTAAAGTTTTTTTGTTCATTTAGGTGTTTGTTGCTATGGTTCTAATGTATTTTTAATATTTCAGGGAACTGTTACTTACTATTTGCTACTTGACAACTGCTTTCGCTTTTTTAGTGGCTACCTTGGAGATGAATTTCAAGAGTCTGTGGTGAGACTGTTTTTCTTTAGTTGATTATCATATTAGTTTTTGCTACCCAACCTCATAATGGAGTATTCCTTGCGCATGCATGCATTAATGATGTGTAAGGGTGGATATCACGGTCGGGTTTATTTATTTATTTATTTTTTTCAATTCAGGCAGCAGCTTTAAATCCTTGAATCCCTCTGTTACTTTTCGTTTGCCACCTTATTTCGTTTCTTTTCTTGATTAATTTGTAGGAATCTGTAAATAACATGCAGCAAAATGAAGTTGTTCCTTCCTCAATTGGGCAACGTGTGCCAGGAATGGTTGATAGCCCTCAAACTTACCTCAGGCAGTTTCCATTTGACCGGAAATGGGCTCTTGGACTCCAGGTTTGTTTGTTCTTGACTTCTTGGTGGTCTTTCTTTTCTCCGTGTCCCTTTTTTGAGAACAAATAAAAAGCTGCTTTGAGTTGAAAATTTTGTTATTGGGGATTATGTTGGAATTGGTTCAGAACTTGTGAATCTCCCTTAGATGATATGATCTGTCTGAGGAGTCTATCTTGTCTGTTTTCGGGAATAGTTGTTAATTTGAGAAGGCACTTCTCCGTAAATTCTAATTCTTTTCTCCATTTTTTTTTCCTGAAGTCTCGTGCTCATCCTCGCGAGGTAATGACTGAAGTTCTAAAAGCTCTGCAAGAACTTAATGTTGGTTGGAAAAAGGTAGGACACTACAACATGAAATGTAGATGGAGTGGAACTCCCAGTCAGCATCATGGCATGATGAACAACTCTATGCTCAGTAATCCCTACTTTGGAGATGATTCATCTATCATAGAAAATGATGGCTTTTCTAGGTCACCTGACGTAGTCAAGTTTGAGCTGCAGGTATTTCTTTTCCTTCTTTTTTCCCCTAACTTTTGTCTGATGTCTCTGGATTATGATTTATTTGAGTCTAAGTGTGAACAGAATAAATTATAAGCACCTCAATGGTAGTTGTGTTTTCTTAGTAGAAGTTGGTCAGTGGGGAGCTAAGCCTTTCCGATGCAATGTTTACTTGTGAAGTTTCTTTTCCTAACTTGAATGTTGCGCTTATGAATTTGAATAGTAGTTTATTCATATATAGAACTAAATCTTCTGGGCACTCAAGAGTATGCCCGTAGGTCCTTGCCTCTTTCCAATTTGGTGAGAAAAGTTCCATTGTTTTCAGTATGCTTGTTTGCTGTTAGTGGAATAGAGTTCAAGCATTTAGGCAATCAGTGATGTACTGTACTTGTTAATACTTGCCTCAGTAACTCGATGGCCAAGTGGGCGACTCTGTCTGGATTCTCATATATTGATAAATTGTTTCTGAGAGTGGCTTTTGGTTTGCTGCATTTGCATTTTGGAATATACCGTTTGATAATGTTGTTTAACATTGCAGCTTTATAAGACCCGTGAAGACAAGTATCTGCTTGACCTTCAGAGGGTTCAGGGTCCGCAGTTACTCTTCTTGGATCTTTGTGCTGCTTTCCTTGCCCAGCTTCGGGTACTCTGATAATTGTGGCCAGATCCTTCTGAAGATATCTCTAGATGACATTAAAATGTTAACGGTGTAAATATTTTAACCATAGCATATTGAGGTTGAATTGAAACATTTACATCCATAATGTTTCTGTTCCCTTTTCTATTTCCAAATTCTCCTGTTACTTAAAAGGGAGAATGTCGTGCTCGCCATCTTTTTAACGCTCTTTAAAGAGTATTGGCCTCTTGCACGACCTTTTATTCTTCTTATTTTCTGGGTTTTAACGATAAGACTATTGCCATGTAATCTACACGCTAGATTTTATGACTAGTTTGAGGTGAAAATGGCATCATATGGTTTTGTTGCAGTACGATAGTTACGAGTTTAGTGCTCTGGTCATAGATTTGTCAACAATATAATGTCCTTATGAGGGACGTTACCGCATTTAGTGCTAATAACAGATTGTTGTATTCTCTCCGTTCCAAAATAAGTATCGTTTTAGCAAAATGGAGAAATTTCAAAATAAGTGTTGTTTTCGGGTCAATACATTTTTTGTTAAAAATTTTCAAACATATCCTTGAAAGAAATAATATTATTGGTGAGCATTTATTTTAATGGGGTTTGTTGAAGATATTCTAGTATTTTATCTATTTTAATTAAGAGTTTCTTAAACTATGTGTAAACTCTAGAATGACACTTATTTTGGAACGGAGGGAGTAACATCTAATATCAGATTTTTATACTAGTTGTTTACATTGTTAAAAGGGTTTGATGCTGCTGTTTGGATTGGTTAAAGGTCTACTAGTGTGAACTGGGATAACTTTCTGTATAATCGGAACAAACAATAAATAAGTGTTTTCATGGATTTGTCATGGTCATTTTCACATAGTTTGAAAGCTACACAAACGACATAATTTGAAAGCTACATCAAACGAAATTCATACTAAAATATATGAGATTGAGAACGCCATTTTTGTTCTCGTACATAAAAGTATACAACTAAGTAAACAAAACTTAAGAAAACGAAAGAAAACCAATCAGAGTTTGAGGATGATTGGATGTCGTATCACTACTCTTTTTGATTCAACAGACTTCTCTTCACCATCCTGTTTACTGTAATTAAGGGAACAAAAAAAAAAAAAGGTTTTATGCTGATCTATGTTTGAAGAACCAGTTCAGTTCATCACACCGGTTAAAATTAATTGACGTAGCAAATAGTGGGTAAATCGATCGAACTCCACAGTGATGATTCGATATCGTAAGCCGCTGCTTCTTCATCTCCTGCATGATGATCATCAGCAGATGAAGTTTCTTCCTCATGTTGCTTCTCATCATGATTCTGCGCTGGTTCAACATTGTTTTCGCGCTCGTGTTCATCTTCTTGATTCTTACCGCATGCATTCATGAGCCTGGTTAGATGTTCAGTCCTTTCCTGTTGAAGCTTGCTTGCCGATTTCAGCTTCAATTTCAGGCACTCAGTGATACCATTGAAGGCATAAAGAGAAGCTGAAAACTTCCGCTCATAGTTCAGTCTCTTCATGGCCTCACTGAACATGGCTGGATCATCTCCATAAACCTCCTCAGACCCTGTACTCCCCTGCACTATCTCATCCACAAAATGGAAATCCGCAATCCCTGGATTCACATTCTTCCTTTCTTCTTCCTCATCTTCCTCTGTTTCCTCTGCAACACTACCATTAGAGATCATCTCACCCCAATCAAGTTCAAAACTTTGCTGATCTTCTCCCTGAGTTAAGCATGATTCAGTAGCCCTGTTTTCAGGGATGCTATTTTCAGGGGTGTAATCCCCCTCTATATCATTGAGAAAATCAGTGAAATGTGAATCTGAGAATTCCTCAGGGCAGTCATGATCATCACTTTGCTTTTGATGCAGAAGCTGCTGCTGATAATGATCAATAGTGATTGAGGAAGGGTTATTGTTAGAATTGGCAGCAGCAATGGAATTATTCCTGGCTTTGAGTCTGGTCAAAAGGAGATTGGTGATTTTAGAAGGCAAAGCTGGAGTAGAGGAAGATGATGAAGAACAAGGCCAGAAATTGGTCCTGGTATTTGCGCCTCTGAGTAAGCAAGCAGCTTCATCATAAGCCCTGGCTGCTTCCTCAGCAGTGTCAAAAGTCCCTAACCACACCCTTATCTTTTGTATGGTGTCTTTGATCTCCGCAACCCATCTACCGGACGGCCGTTGCCGGACGCCAACGAACCTCTTCCTCGCCCGCCGTGCTCCGCCCAGCGCTGCTGCGGCCGCAGCTTCCTTCACCATCTCATCCCAAGCAACATTACTCTCTTCATCACCTGATGATAGTGATGATGATGATGAGCTCTTTTCCATTCCAATATCACCTCCTGCCTTTCTCTTTCTGGCCATTGTTTCTGTTGAATGTGTGGGTGTGTGTGTGTATTTTGATTAGTTCTTAGTAGTTTTTTTTTGCTTTGTTATTACTAAGGAGGTTGATGGCAAGTGTAGGATATTTATATATGAGGTATGGAAGATGCTGTCAAATGAGGTTTTAAGCAGAAAGGGTCTCTTTTGTTTGTTTACATACATTTGTTGTTTATAATATTCTGTTTTCATATACAAACATTTGGAGGTTTCTCTTCTGATTAGCTTACTTGAGGAGAGTGGGAGAAACATTTTAACCTATTTTTTTTAATGAGGATTTTATTATGATTTTAAAACTCAGAATTGGTATTTTGACCCAGCCAAAGATCTAGTTTATTTCTACCTTCTCTAAAACCTATGAGCAGGACAATAATTTCGGTTAAAAAAAAAAATCTTTAACGTGATAACATACTTCCTCCACTTCAAAAAAATAAAATAAAATAAATCTTGTTTGTTGTACTTATACGATACGATAGGGAGAGTATCTAAATAACTTGAAATGTAATATTTTTCGGGTATTGATGTATCATTATCATTAAATTATGTTACATAGAATATTTTTGAACAAATGACGTTACATCATTTCATCAATATAACTCAAATAGTGATACAAAATTAGTAACATAAAGCTCCTAATTTTACTAGCCCAGAAATTAGAAAATGGTTTCTTGGCCATCTAACTTGGAGGATATCATACGCAACGTATAGATGCGATATTTTCTATTCTAATGGGAAAAGAAACAAAATTAAGCATAGAATTTATCACTTTTGATGATAACGACTCGCTTCATTTTGTCATCTTAAAACCTAATGATATTGTTAAATAATTAGTAGAAGAGTGCAAGTGCCCAACACCAAGTTAGATCATCTAGTGGGTCGAAAACAAGGAGCCTCAATTCATTGATTGGTTAATGTTAGTTCCAAATTTACAAAAACCTAGCTGCCACATCGTACATTCGCAAGGGTCGAAGCTGGACCTGATGGACAGGCAGAAACGGTCTCGACACTATTTTTATATTTGACATAAATATACTTGATATATTTAACAAAAATTGATCCTAACTTATATCTGCACCCCTAGTTTCAAAATGTTACTCCTCCTGTCATTTTAAAAAAAATCTACATTGAATTTTAAGATTTGTACTAAAAATAATACTCTCTCTGTCCCAAAATTCTTGTCCAGTTTGAGATTTCACTTTTAATACAATTTGAACTAAAAATGAAAACTCAAACTAGACAATAATTATGGGACGGAGGAAGTACAAATTTTAAAATTTAATGTAAACTTTTTTCCTTTGGAGGGGTGGAAGGAGTGTAATGCTATTAGTAATGGTTTTTAATATAAAACTAACATATATACATGTTTTTTTTTTTAAAAAAAACATCTATGTTATAGTAAAACATAGTGTCACGATTAATTGAAGGAGTAATATTTTTCTTTCGGGATTTAAATACAGCAAAAAGGCAAGTTGCTTTAAACTTTACAGTCCCGATTACCAACTTGTGTTGTTAAACTTCAACACATTGATGTCTAACGCATGGTTTAGAGACTGTTGCTTTTGATTTACCGTAAATTATGTTTTTGGGTATCTGTTTATGCACTGCAATTTTTTAAGCTAAAAAGGAAAAAAAAAAAAGGAAAGAAAAATAAATTTTGATAGACTCGTACCCTTAAAAAATGATCTTCCAGAATATATATATCCAGTGGAAATTAATTTAAATATTGTAACATATAATTGCAAAGTACACATTAAGGGAAAAACACAAAATGTGTTGCATTTAAGTACTTGAACGTGGCTATAAAATTGAAACCGAAGGATTAATATTTTGTGATGAATTGGGATAACATTTCTGTTTGGCCTTTTCGTTTTGTTAAGTGACTAAAGGTCCGAAATGTAGATTTGTGAAATTTGTGTACTACACATATCTCATGAGGATCATATCTCACTGCGAATGAAAACGAATATTAACTGTAATGATGATCATACGCTAAAAGTAATTATTATTTATCTGCTCAGTATTACCTTGCGATTTTTGTTGTTACTAAAAAGAGATTACCTAAGGAGGGTGAAAACATCGAACGAGTGTTTTGGAAGCAAGTGATTTGTACGCTGATTCGATTACTTCTAAGTCCAGGACAACCAAGATATGTCCAAACTCCCACTACAGTGAAAAGTTATCAATCATGTTCGTCCCTATAATACAAATCGTGTCCTATCTCCTGGTTTTACTTCACCCTAAATTATACTCTCTCCGGTCGCATTTTGATTTGTCCTAAATTTTACATAATACATATTTTTTAATGATAGAAAAAAATCTTAAACATATTTTGTGACATTGAAGAGAATACAACAAATGTGATAATATATTTTTAAAGTATTTTCGTCAATTGAAGATGCGTATTAGGTGAAACTCATGACAAATCAAAATGTTTTATATTAAGGACCGGAAGGAGTATATATATTTCATTGTGAAATCTAGGAACACATTTCTTATTCCCTCATGCATGAAGATATGTTAAAATATCCCATCCATGCAATTATAAATTTACCCATTCTCTCTATTTCAAATGATTATTATTCTGTTTAAATTAAATAACACAAATATTTCATACAGTTTGCAACTCTCTCTCTCGTGAAAGAATTGGTGGCCTTCCCGGAAGCCTCTCCAGAAAGCGACATCCGCTGTTTCACGCGGATTTTGGACATAGCAAAAAGCCCAAGGAGTATAGTAGGAGAGTGTATGACCAATTCACCTCAATGATTAGCATATTCTCCTAGTTCATTCTCACTTGTTTAATTACCTTGTTTTCCTTTCGTTTTTTACCCTAGTCTCTTTTCTGCGGAGATGAAAAACAGTTACATTCATGGTTACAAGAAATTGGCCATTGGCCAAGTTGAAATGAACAGAGATATTGTCAGTGAAAGAAACGTCATACGGCATAATTACACCAATAAAGCTTTTAGATACGTGCAAATAACTGTTTCACTCCCTTTTACCACCCAAAAAAAAAAAAAAAACTATTTCACTCCCAATTCAGAGTTATAAATAAGAAGGTGAGGTGAAATGGTAAAAATGAAAGCCGTAATCATTAAAGTTTGGGTTTAAATATAATCGGAGCAAAATAAAAGAGAATCGTGTTAGATGTGTTATTATGTTGCCTCACAAGTCGCAAATATTTTTTCCCTCAAAATTATTGTTCCCATATAGTCTGCTTCCGTTTAAAGGAAAAGACGAGAAAATGGGCACCCCAACTTGCTAGAAAAGACAACTCTGGTGGTGGAAATTATTAGGTAAGTAGTTTTTTTTTTTTTTTTCCCTTCAAATAAATTGTGTAAAAACATGTTCATCGTCAGTAATTGTGACTAATCTTTGGATAAGTTAGAACACAAAGTAGTCATTGATATCATATTTTACAATTTCATGCAACTACTGGTCTCCAAAAGTTCATGACTACAATGTTACTGCCTGGAGGAGCAGATAGTTAAACCAAGACAACATCCTTTTGGCATTTTGGAGGTACAAATAAAACAATAAGCAATTGTATAATCAATTCGGTGCCAAAAGAAAAAAGAGTGAAGAGAGCCATTTATACCCAATCAGTTTGCTTTGTTTTCAAAACTATGAATAGAAGGGACAGGAGTTAGTAGTTGAAACATAGGACAAAACAAGATCTTGCAGCAGACTATACATATATAATAAATAGGGCCTAAATAATACAAACAATACATCAGTATAGGTATACAGTGTTCCACTTGTCGACAATTCGCACCTTTTTCTACTTGTGAGCTCATCGCTTTGATTAAAAAAGAGAAAGCATCATCAGATTCTCCATCCCCTTCTCAGACTGCCAAGTGGAGGCAAAATACAGCTTCTCCTCCTGCTCCTGATCAATTCAATTTCAAGTGAGCCAAAAAAAAAAAATGTCAATGACCAGTCTTTTGGCCCTCCATGTGGAGCTTCAGCAAGTATATCTTCTTCAGTCACCAACTTACTTCAGTATATGATGTAGACATGATTGACTTGCAGATTTGATATATAGTACTCCCTTGTGTCCTTAATATGAAGTATTTTGATTTGTTTCATGTTTCACCAGATACGTACTTTTAATTGATAAAAAAAACCTTAAAACTATTTCATAACAACCAAGAGATCATAATGAATAGGAAAATATATTTTTTTAAGTTTTTTTGTCAATTAAAAATACGTACTAGGTGAAACCTATGACAAACTAAAATGCCTTGTATTAAGGACCGGAGGGAGTACATCACACTTTAGAGAATCCACCAAATTTGCAAATGACCAAAACAAATGCCATATTTTGGACATCACTCATCAAAATCAAGTGTTAAAAATTTGAATGGCTAAAGAAATCACAAGAAAAGATAATGCTACCTTTGTACTTCTACTGTGCATATGACTATTAACACCTAGAGTGGTTGATTTAACTACACCAATATGCCAATAAGCTGAGGAAGATCATATACAAACAGATAGAGATCTCCAACCCAGATTCCACCCGCTAGAAATTTGTGAGATTTAATCTTTTCCTTTTACTTTTTCGGATACCAGATTAAAAGAAAGCAGGCATGCTATGACAAAGCAGAAAATTTTGACTACAATCAAATACCAATTAATAGATTGACTAAAAGCTTTATTTTCTGAGAAGAGTAAGGAGCAGGTAACACACTTTCTTTTTGTCCATGAGCTCTAAGCCAGGAGTGGAGTGTTTATTCTCTCATCAGTTCTAGAATATTGAATGTCCAAGGCAGGATCCCGGTATGCATTTTCAAGTTCAGCAAAAAACGTTGAGATGGTGGGATCATTTTCATCATCTTTGTCTTTCCTTATCAAACTCTGTATTACAAAGAGAAAAAGAAGAGTAAATCACACTACAAGTTAAAAATGGTAATTGGCAGAAAAAGAATAGATGGATATTGACATTTTCGGCCAGTACTTTTTGCTTATTTATGAGAACAAATTGATCAATACACGCAATGGAATTTACAAGCAAGAGAGAAGACATGTTGAGACAATGGTTGATCTCATCAATTCACCTAGAATCTTTTCTCCCATAAAAAATATTGGTGAAAAAGGATATCTAGTGAACTCAAACTCACAGATAATATAACAAAATCAACTCTCTTTTTACTGTTGACACATCCATATATACAAGCTCTTAACTTCTGTTTACCAGTCTATTCCATATGTAGTTCGGGTTTGGAGTGATTCATTAACCAAAACACGTGCTGGATTATTATGTGACGTCAAGTACGAAATTATTTGAATAAGCTACAAAGATATAGCAATTCCACTGGCATCATAGCAAGCTTCCTCATCTCAATGGAAAGCATCATAACTTCCATTACTGACCAGTTCTTCAGTTGTGGTATAGGTTGAAGAAGCAGGGAGGGTAATAACTCACATATAATGTTCAGACGGTGAATTGACATAAAATAGACCGAAGATTCTGTAGTCAGGTGTTTGTTTCATGATCAACAACTCTTTGGTATTTAGCTATTTGACAGTGCATATTTGTCCACTAAAACCAAGTCCCAGTTGACAGTTTCATTAACTATTTCAAGGTCCTTGTTGGATCAGGTAAACACTGAAGCTAAATTTTACTAACAATAGCAAACAAATAGGCCATGGCCAGATAAAGAGTCATACTTCTAACACTAGAAATGTTGAGAAAATGGAAAGTTTACCTCCGCAGAGTAATCCTTAAATGCAGGTAGGAAGCGTCTCAGGCAATAGTTGTTGAAAATAAGCGTAAGAATGGGAAGAGGAATCATTAAGCTGGAAGCTAAAGGCAGTTCCTTCAGCCCAAATATTCCAATGGCAACGACATGCATCAGAACTAAAGAGAATATAGTTGAACCATGTACTATGGGCCAGAACTTTCCACCAGTCTCAAATGCAGGTGAATAAACATTTAACAGCTGCACAAGGAGTTCAAAAAAGTTTAATATATGGTGGTATATGTTTAAAGAAATATAAAATTGGATTAACATCTAAATTCTTTGACATATTAGAGCAACCAGAGTTGAGTAGAGTTGTAAAGCATACGTAACAATCTTCTATGAGCCTCAATGACTCAATGATCAATTAACATATTCCAGAGAACATCAGATATCCAACCATACCAAGTGCATCCAACATTGTATGGTCTTACATTTGTAAGAATTTGGGATTCATAAGTTAATCAAAGAATTACAATTACCAGCAAAATTATTATTAAACAGAAAAAAGTGGATTAAATAACAATATGAAGTTGAACATGATCTGAAGCAAGGAACACGAGTAAGAAGTACTCGAATGCATCTGAAAGCTAGGAGCTTCTTTTCCCTTTCAGTAGCCTATCCTCTCCACAACATACTAATGACACCATGGACGAGGTAGTCATAAATTCATAAGAACAAGACAAAGGATAAAGACGACTGACCTGGTTACGGTAGATTATGTATGCCAGACAGTAGAAGACCACGAGAAAAGGCAGAATAAGTGGTGCAAGGAAGAAGTATGTTGCACCAAGGAGGCTGAAAAAGAGTATCCCTGGAATTTCACTATGGTAAGGAATTGACGGAACTTCAAAATCATCGCGAGAATTTCTGCCAAATATTCCTCGAATGGAACTTAGAAGAAGTCTTTTCAGTTGAATAAGCTCTGAACAGGTACCAGTCCATCCAGATGTCACAACATATGCTATGAAAAAAGTAGCCTGCACAGAACAACATGATGACATCATTCTCATCAAGTATTTCACAAATTTGGACAGCAATTTATGCATGAAGGCCACTTTTCCTCCCACCAAGTTGGTAAAACATGTATCAAGAATGTTTAGAAAATAAATGGATCAAAGTTACTTCTATTTGATATTTTTCAGGGAATTACATTGATTGGTCTGTCCACAAGATAGTAAAAAAAATTGATTATCCAACTTCATTTTAATCCTTATTAGGATGGTCATATTGTTTCTTCTAAGGCCAGAATCAGCATTGAAGTCAGCGATTTTCTCTTCAAGGCAAGATACAAGTAAAATAACTCAGATGTAAAATTTCTTCCCATGCTATAAATCTCTGCTGCTGAAAAAATGAAAAGAGAGTTCTTATTTCAGTGAATCCAAATTGAGAATGATATGATGGTACCTGTCCAGGTACTGCCACAGCAAGTAAGGCAGGAATTTCCTTTGGCTCAAGAAGAATATTTGCACGATAGAGAGCAGATCCTGATAATACATTTGCAAAGTAGATATTCCAGATGGTGAAAAACAAAACCTTGATGCATGCACTTTTTTCAATCTGACTCATTGCAATGTACCCTTGTATTGAGGATAGCATAATCATAATAGGTGGCACAAAATACAGAAACCCTTGCAGAATAAGACTCGGAAGATAGCCCGTAACTATTCGACTGACGAAGGTTCTGTAAAATTCAAATACAATCTGAGGTTAGTAACCAAATAGCTGCTTGCTAGCAAATTGAAAATTGACGTTAATGAAAACTTCATTTAGAAAAAAGAAGAAAGAGATAGGAGTAAAGGTTAGAGTTGGAATAGTATACAATTTTTCAGAGTTAAAAAATGCAGATATTAGGTTTAAAATTTTACGTTATGCTTCAGAGAGCTTGTTGATACGTGCTCCAGTAATTTGGCCTTTTCATTCTCCAATTCCTAACACAAATATCAATGTTTTTATGAAATTAATGATTCAGTGATGGTTTTTTTCCTGAACTAGCATAGGTGTGCTTCCATGCAGAATGAATATTACTCCAAAGTTCTGGAGGAGCTTTATCTCATAAATCAGAGGAACTCGCATATGGATCTTATCGCATAAAATTGAACCACGATCACTTACATTCTTAGAATGCTTTTCAGAAATGGGAAGTAGAACTCCAGTTGGTCCAAATGAGTAAGGCCTTGCACTATCAAAACAGGTACAAGGAATAAAATTGTGAGAATAATGAATGCGCCGAACACAAGAATGCTGCAAATCCATCTCTTCGTAAAAGATGCTGAGAAGAATGGCCAGTAAACATCTTGTGGATGAGGAGCTGGTTCGGTAACCCATTCAGTAGGATTTACTCCTTGTCTGATACTAGAAGCTATTGCTGCACCAAGTCGTGTCTTAAAAGAAACAAATGCAGCTCGAACTTCCTGTCAAAATAAAGAACAATACAAACTTCAGATTACTGTACAAAATAAAGCATTGCAAATAAACTCTGTGAATTTTTATCTAGTAATAAACAACAGAGCATCATCAACAAAATGGACAATCAAAATATTGTCTATATAGCTGTAGAAACATAACCACAAGGATAGCAAAGATGTACTGTGACAGCAAAACATAAATCCTAATCCCAGATTATCATTGGTAAAGAAATTTAAACATGAAAAATGCTAAGAACAGATGCTAATCTTATTAAGTGCATTTCTGGATGAAAACTGGAATAGAAAGAATCCATGTGACCTTTACTGCAATTGAAGATTGTTCTGTCCGCACGTTAACTTCAGCATCTTCGAGCTTCCTTTCATAATGATCCACAAGATCAACTCTGCGTCCAGTAAGCCCCATAAATCCAGCACGCTTGAACCTTTCTTCACCTTGGCTTGATTTCAGCCTGACAAGCTTTTTGTATAACTTGTCCGCATCATTCTGAAGGAAGTTTACACACAGATAAAGATTAGGTGTGATACAACAAGAGGTCAACATATTTGTCGTCTTGAACAAAATTTAAAGATATCCATGTCTGCTTTTCACTATCAAACCAATCCATTGCGATTTTCATTATGGTAAACCACATAGGAACATGGCAAGCACATACCACAAGAAATCCTGCATGCAAAATAAGTGTTATACTACTTCATCCAACTTTGCTGTACAATCACTACAAACTATTTCTTTTGCTATTGGTATCTACTGTGTGCGAACAATACATAATCTTTTTTTTTTTTTTTTGGCTTTAAGATTCTGGTTGGTTTGAATAAGGCAAAACACAAGAATTTAGATCACATGCAAAACCATGGATTTATTTGAAATAGCTACATTGAGGATTTATAACATCGGAAGGGTAGAAGCTGAACTAAAACATCAATTCACATTTTCTGTTCGACAGCAACAACAACAAGAGCAGACAGAAAGGCTTGTAACAAACAGTTATAGCATTTTAAAAACACAATCATATACAGACAATTTCTAAGGTCATAGAAATATCCACCTCCCGTAAAGATCGTACTTACTATAAGAGTCTTGAGCTTGCTCGTACGGTGTACCACACAGTGTGAAAGGTAAGTAGAAGGATAATGTTCAGTGAAAAAGCTCTCAACATTATGACCGACGCTTGTCCCAGAGGGAACAGGAACACCTCGCACTAAAATAGTAAACTGTTGCGGCTCAGGTTTTGAGGAGTAGAAAAAAGCCAGTCTTTTGGATGAAATGTATGAATATTCCTGCAGATTGAAGAATATTACTTAGCATCTGAATTTTTTTCAAGCTTGCTATGCAGAGTGGAAAAAGTTATCGACTCAGGTTCACAAAGCATTATTCACTTACAAAATAAAGAAGGCAGCAGACAAACACCGTGAAAACATATACAGCACAGAAGTGAATCCACAACCTTCAAAAGGGCATCAAGATTGTCAGAGATGAGAAGTCCCAAATGCTCGCTAAAAAGTCAACATCAACTTTCTTTAGTCACAAGAAGGAACTAATGAAGAAGGAAACAAAATTGGTTTAACATAATAACTGTCAAACACACTTGACTAGGTGAAACAAACTTTTACTAGAGATGTCAACAAATCTGAGGCTATCAAATAATCTTTTGTTTGCAGACATGAAAAGGTGACAAATCTCATAATTAAAGAAGCATGGCATAAGCCAGGAGACAAGGTTAATGGCATTGACGTCTTGGAGATTACCAATTTAGAGACATCTTATATGTTTTAAAACAGTATAAACCATGAAAGATCCAAAAGTGACAAAGCTGACAAATCTGAAACAATAAAATGCTTGTGCTTTGTTTCCAGCAATCAAATTAAACTCCATTTCCCGAACTGCAATGTGAAATCCCACTTCATACAACGTAAATGATCACCTGTTTGAGCCGTCGTTAACATTAGAAATAGTGAATGATTCCAGAGTACTATTCTGCAAGCCGATGAAGTCAAACTCGAGCTGGTTACCCATATAGTTGACTGGAAGAAGAACGAAAATCCCAATAACAGAGGCAAAAGCAAATACCCTCATGCTGCAAAATAGATCACTTCAATTAGCAAGACGAAGAATGAAATAAACACAGACTCGGAGAAATGAATATGCCTGAGAGGTTTACAAAGCAGAGACAAAAGCAGGGAGGGTGTTGAAAACAACAAGGTAAACTAAATCCTAGCTCCTATCAAAGTTCAATTAGTACGAAATTCCCAAAATGCAACAAAAACCAATCAAAGTTGACAACTAACAAATACAAAGTAAACAGCGGAAGAGCTAAATCAGTATACTATTGCCACTTTCCTAATGGTAGTTTAAGTTTTGACCTTGCAGATGCAGAACATGGCTTATCAGGCAATCAGCAGAAGTGTAAGACAAGCAAAGAAGTGAACCTGAAAATAAAAATACGCATGAAGACTACAGCATCCAAACCACTCTTAGATAACAGCTCATCTTCGGAGGGCTGCCATGCCCTTTTCAACCAATTAGCAGAAGGTAACAATCTCTCCAAGTTGAAATCACTTCCTCCATCTTGCCGGGATTTTCCCTCAGCAACCGAACGCGGAGCATATACTTCAACATTGCCCGGTTGCTTCCTCAGTATTGAGTACAAAGCAAAATACAGAAGACTAAGTGCAAGATTGATTCCAACCGAAGTCAGTAGAGCAGACAGGATCATCCTTTCTCGTTGAAGAAATTATATTCTCTTTTACTAAAAACTGAAGACCCAGTTAGCAACAGTGTTCTTAATCAGATCAGAACGTCACCCTCAAAAGACCCCTTTGAAGCATAAACTCTACAAGTAAAACAAGTTAGTGTAACTAACCGTCAGAAATATTAAAAAAAAATTAAAGAACGAGTTATTGAACTACAGATATGAAGCACGTGTAACAATTTCATAAATGAGCTAACATATAAGGAAAAGGGAGCTATCAATAAAAACAAAAAGAAGAAGAAGAAAAAAAAACCATACCCAAATTAAGGTTTAAGCTGCTCTTGCAAGTAAAAAACTTCATTCTTGAATGGGTTTATAATCATTTCTTTATTGTTGCTAGTATGAAGTGACTCGGGTGAGATTATAGGAAAAAGGGTCAGCTTATGGAAGCGGGAATAAAGAGGAGAAAGCCGGAGTTGGGAAGGGATGTCAGCGGAGCTGGTGAACAGTGACCGGAGAACAAAGTTCGCCGCGTCAGAGGCGGTGGTGATCCCGACTAAGGTGACGGAAATGAAATTTGGGTTTGGGCTTGGAGGTTGGATTACGCAATTGGGTTACCGAAGTGGGGCGATACGTTGTTGGGCTTTTGCAACTTAGCTTCAAAATGGATAACTTTTCCATTTCAATAAAAAGAAATAAAATAAAATATAAAATACTTGAAAATAATTTTAATTTTCTCATATTGATGATAGTTTCTTTAAGTTTTCTTTTTCTTTTTCTTTTTTCTTTTTTATTTTTTTGCTCGTAAAAGGATTCAATTTACTTACAAATTTTAACAATATGAAAGAGAAGGATAATAATATTATTGTGATGAAATAAATGCGCTCCCATTCTAAACTAACCTCAAAGATTTCACTTCAATTTCCCCAATGTTTTTCATAACATGAGAGGTAAAGTGATTACGTACCTAACTTCTTCAACTCAAATAACACAAATTGGATCTAATGTGTTGTACTGGTAATTAAAAAAAAAAAGAAGTTATCTTTATGCACCTAAGTGATAAGATAGAGATATGCTTGATCAAGTTCCCTAGATTGGAGATGTTAATCATTTCCACCAAAAATAACAAATCCAATACCACAACAAAAAATACACGAGTATCTAGTTCACTTCATTATTGTTTACCAAACTTAGCAAATCTGATACTGCAACAAAAGACATATGAGTATTTATTAGTTCATTATTTTTTGCCAAAATTACAAAATTTGATACCACAACAAAAGAATTCAAATTACAAAAGAATTAAATAAACAAAATGAGGAGCCATCATCAAGATAGGAAATCCAATTATGTACTTGCACTTAATTTCTTTTTAATGATATGTACGGAAAAAAAAGATAAGGAAATGTTCATAACCATTCATTGTTAACACTTTGTATTTGGGGTTAAGCATTTAAAGTTAAAGCATAGTTTAGATTATTGACAAATCATTCTTGTAAGTTTTCCTTGTAACTTTTTCCTGTATGTATTACTATTTTTTTTTATTCGGATTTAAATGTTTTACCATGTGTGCTATACCAAATTCAATTACCTTTTTTTTCCAATGAACAATTACTAAATAAGAAAGAATAGTGATAAGTATGTAGAAAAGTTACAAGGAAAATTTACAAGAAATGATATCAATCATCAAAATTATCCCATAATCTTAAATGTTTAAATCCTAAATGGAAAATATAAAAAATGAATCGTTACGACTTACGATCATTCTTTGTTATTTTTCCTTGTACCAATTATTATCTAATAAAAAATTGGCAATAAAAAGTTAGTAGACAGAAATAAAAAAAATTATAGTTTAATGGGCCTCAAACCGCAAAATCCATAAGTCGTACCAGTGATATTGGTAAAGTTCAAAAAGACTTGGAGTTGGGGGAGTGCAATTCTGGAACTCGGAGACCGGAAGTCAGCGCCCCGGTTCCACTGTGTGTGTGCGTGTGCGGCCGACGTATAGAATTTAGTATTTTCGGCGCCAAACCAATCTTCACCTTCTCTGCCGGAGTCAATTCTCTGAGCTAAAATCACCATTTCCGTCGCGGGTCAATACGCTTCCTGTATTGGCGGGGTTCCAAGGGTCTTTGTTTCTTTTTTGATCCGTTTGAGGTGAGCTGAAAATCGCCATTTTCAAATCGTATGGTTTTAGGCATTCGTGGGTAGAGCGAAGATTTATACATCGAACTGTCGTTTCCAGCTTGTTTCTAGTCCATCTCATTCGTGGAATTCTTCACGGTGCTAAAATTGAGAAACTTAGATCTGGTGCCAATTTAGGGTGTAGGATTTTGTTTAAATCTCTGTTTCTTCTGTTTTGTGTTGACCTAATCTGGCCAGTAGATGTGATCAATTGATTTTCAATCTTGTGCTTCCTCTTTGATTGCTGAGAGTGGGAATTGTTTTTAAGAAGCTGGTTTGTGGATCAGAGTGGTAATTTCACGATCAAGCTTTATTGCATATTAGGACCATTTTTCTTTTTCTTTGCTTCTTTTGAAATTTACTTTTGCAAGCAAGTGGATTTAATCATAGTATCTGACTTGTGCGGATCAATGCCTTTTCAAATTTGGTATTAGATGTATTGCTTACATTGTGTCTTTAGTAATGAAGCCAGCTTCATAGAGAACGAGGTTTGATTGATTCACTTCCAATTAGGTGTAAAGGTTAGGGAAAAAGGGCTTAACTTGTCTTTTACTTTCTGCTCTAGCTGTAATTTTTGAACTGCCAGTTTTGATTGCTTTCTGTTAAAATTGTGCAGGATAATATTTGATTCGTTCTCTCTCATTGCAGGCCGGGCATGATTTTTGGTTCTTCGCCCTTGAATTTTTGTGCATGACATCTAGTTCATAGTACTGGATCCTGTTTGAGCAGCTGTGGAGACTGACAGGATGGGTTGCTTAAATAAACAGACTGCTGCTACATTGGTTGCAGAACCCAAGGATCGTAACCCAAGGTCCTCCAGAGTTGCCTTAGCATGCATAGTAAATTCAGAAATTGGCGCAGTTTTAGCTGTAATGAGGAGAAATGTGCGGTGGGGAGTCCGTTATGCTGATGACGAACAACAAGAGCACTCCCTTATCCATTCTTTAAAGGAATTGCGTAAAAAGATATTCCAGTGGCAACATCAGTGGCGGGTTATTAATCCCGTGGTTTATCTCAAACCTTTCTTAGATGTGATTGAATCTGCTGAAACCGGCGCGCCTATTACCGGTGTTGCTTTGTCATCTGTTTACAAAATCATAAGCCTAGAGATTCTTGATTCGGAGACTGTGAATGTTGATCAGGCATTGCATTTGATAGTTGATGCTGTGACTAGCTGTCGGTTTGAGGTAACTGACCCTGCTTCTGAAGAAGTTGTGCTAATGAAGATACTTCAAGTCCTCTTGGCTTGCATGAAGAATAAGGCTTCAGTTTACTTGAGCAATCAGCAAGTATGCAATATAGTAACTTCCTGCTTTCGGATAGTTTCACAGGCAAGCTCAAAAGGTGAACTTTTGCAAAGGATAGCACGCCACACCATGCATGAATTAATTAGGTGCATTTTCTCGCACCTGCTAGATATCTATAGTGAACAAAAACCAGTTGCTGAAGGGAGCAGAATATGTGCAGATGGAGAGGTAGGCATGAGAGATTTCTTTACTACCTTGAATTTTTATTTTCCAGCAGCTACATTTTCACCCAAATCAGATCCCCATGCAAAATTAAGGTCTAAATGGATGAAGACCTGGGATTTTAAAGGGAATCTGTAAAGAAACTCCTATTGTGTCAGTCTTGCTTAATGATGCCTGCTTTAGCCTTTTAAAACTTTGTCCCCTTTGAAAGTGATCTTGCTTTCATGGAGTATCTTTTCAGCATCATCCAGCCAGGATTTTTTCAATTTTTAAATGAGGAGTACTTGAAACATCTTTAATTTAAAGATATTGAAAGTTCAAATTTTTGTTGGATGAAGGCATGTCCTTTTTTGCTGGATCATAAATTCATAATATGAATGCTTAACAACATGGAAAATATCATTTTGATAATTTCATTTGGGTTTCATTTTTTCTTTTCTTTTCTTTTTTTTTTTTTTTTTTCCGTTGAGCCCCTGAGCGTGAGATATTTTGCAGGTTAATGTGGTAACAGATCATCATAAATTAGAAGATGAAGATGTTAACTCCAATGGCGGTGTGGAATCTAATGATAAGGCACCGGCTCTTCCAGACGGTGTTTCTGGTATGCCTGCAGACACATCAGCAAGTAACGTGGATAACACAGAAAAGATATCTATTGGTGGGGTGGTTGATCAGAAAAGAGAGGACCCTATGATGGATCCATATGGTGTTCCTTGCATGTTGGAAATATTTCAGTTTTTGTGTTCTCTTTTGAATGTGATGGAGCGCATTGAAACTGGCCAGAGGTCAAACCCTGTGGCATATGATGAAGATGTACCCTTATTTGCTCTGGGTTTGATTAATACAGCAATAGAATTAGGTGGCCCTTCTTTTGGAGATCATCCTAAATTATTAGCCTTGATACAGGACGAGTTGTTCTATAACCTGATGCAGTTTGGTTTGTCAATGAGTCCTCTGATTCTCTCAACTGTATGTAGTATAGTTCTCAATCTGTACCATCATCTCCGTACTAAGATAAAGCTTCAGCTCGAGGCCTTCTTTTCTCGAGTTCTATTAAGGATTGCAGGGAGCAAACATGGGTCTTCATACCAACAGCAGGAAGTTGCCATGGAAGCCCTTGTTGATTTCTGCAGGCAGCCTCTTTTTGTAGCTGAGATGTATGCCAATTTTGATTGTGACGTATCCTGCAGCAATGTATTTGAAGATCTTGCCAATCTGCTGTCTAAAAGTGCCTTTCCTGTGAACAGCCCTCTGTCAGCAATGAATACTCTTGCGCTGGATGGTCTGATTGCCATTATTCAGGGAATGGCTGGGAGAATGGGCCATGAGTCATCTACTGCAGAACACTCTGAAGACGCTGAGGAATATAAACCTTTTTGGACCGTAGCATGTGAGAACTATGATGAACCTAGTTACTGGGTCCCGTTTGTCCATAAGATGAAGAAAATCAAACGTAAGTTGATGACGGGTGCTGACCACTTCAATCGAGATCCAAAGAAGGGTCTTGAGTTTCTTAAAAGCGTAAATTTGTTGCCTGATTTGCATGATGCACTTAGTGTAGCATACTTCTTTAGATACACTAATGGTCTGGATAAGAATGTTGTTGGAGATTTCCTGGGAAGTCATGATGACTTTTCTATTCAAGTGCTTAATGAATTTGCAAGATCATTTGATTTTCGGGACATGAATTTGGACACTGCATTACGCATTTTCTTGGAAACCTTCAGGTTACCTGGAGAATCTCAGAAGATACAGAGAGTTTTGGAGGCATTTGCTGAGAGATACTATGAGCAGTCACAAGATATTCTGGTTAACAAAGACGCAGCGCTCCTATTGTCATATTCCATAATATTGCTTAACACAGATCATCACAATGCACAGGTGAAGAGGAAGATGACTGAAGAAGACTTCATCCGTAATAATCGCAGAATAAATGGAGGAAATGATCTCCCTCGGGATTACTTGTCTGAACTGTACCACAAAATCTGCGAGAATGAGATCCGTATGGTCCCAGAGCCAGCTGCTGCGGCTTCTGCCGTGACGCGTAGTCATTGGATTGGTTTAGTTCACAGATCAAAGCAGGCAGCTCCATACATTTTCTGTGATTTTGGACCACATCTCGACTATGACATGTTTGCTATTTTGTCTGGTCAAGCTATCGCTGCTATCTCTGTGGTCTTCGATCATGTGGATCAGGAAAATATTTTGCAAACATGCATTGATGGATACTTGGCGGTGGCTAAGCTTTCAGCGTCGTATAGTTTTATTGAGACATTGGATGATTTGGTGGTGTCTCTTTGTAGATTCACTACCTTGTTGCTTCCTTCCTACGCTGATGAAGAATTCATCCTAGCTTTTGGGGATGATACCAAAGCAAAGATGGCTACCGTGGCTGTTTTCACCGTTGCAAACAGGTATGGTGATCAAATTCGCTCAGGATGGAAAAACATTCTGGATTGCATTTTAAGCTTGAACAAGTTGGGTCTTCTTCCAGCTCGACTTGCGAGTGAGGCTGCTGATGATTTGGACCCGAATCATGATCAGAACCGAGTAAAATCCTCTGCAAGCTCTCCAGCAACAGCTACTCCAATATCAGTGGCCCCTTCTCGAAAATCATCTGGTTTGATGGGTCGATTCAGCCAATTGTTATACCTGGATACAGAAGAGCCTGAACCTCAGCCCACTGAAGAACAAGTTGCTGCTCGCCAACGTTCTCTACAGACAATCCGAGATTGTCATATAGATAGCATCTTTGCAGACAGTAAATTTTTGCAAGCTGAGTCCCTTTCACATCTTGTTCAGGCGCTTCTCTTGTCTGCTGGACGACTTTCTAGGACAAGTAATGTGCCGGAAGATGAATCAACTGCAGTTTTCTGTCTGGAACTGTTGATTGCTATCACTTTGAATAACCGAGACAGGATCATGCTCCTCTGGCCAGGTGTTTATGAGCACATAGCCAGTGTTGTTCAGTCAACTGTGATGCCTTGTGCTCTGGTGGAGAAGGCTGTTTTTGGGCTCCTCCGGATATGCCAACGGCTGCTTCCATACAAGGAGAATTTGACCGACGAGCTTCTGAGGTCTTTGCAACTTGTACTGAAACTTGATGCTCGAGTTGCTGATGCATACTGTGAACAAATAACTCAGGAAGTTATGCTCCTTGTCAAAGCAAATGCAATGCAGATAAGATCTAATATGGGTTGGCGCACTATTATATCACTTCTTTCTATAACAGCTCGACACCCAGAAGCATCTGAAGCAGGATTTGAGACGTTGTCATTTATAATGTCTGATGGGGCCCACATTTTACCTGCAAATTATATTCTCTGTTTGAATGCAGCCAGGCAGTTCGCCGAGTCTCGGGTGGGTAATGTTGATCGTTCAGTCAGATCATTAGATCTGATGGCTGGTTCGCTGGACTGCTTAGTTAGATGGTTTTACAAAACCAAGGAAGCTGGGGAGGAAGAAGCTGCTCAAAAAATGACCCAAGACATTTGGGAAATGTGGCTGAGGCTGGTACAGGGACTAAGGAAAATCTGTGTGGATTCAAGAGAGGAGGTGAGAGATCATGCTATTTTGATTTTGCAGAGGTGCTTAACAGGTGTAGATGTGATGCGTGTCCCAAGTGAATTGTGGTTGCAGTGCTTTGATCTGGTAATCTTCTCATTATTGGATGAGTTAATTGATCTTGCACAGCAACATTCCTCCAAGGATTACCGTAAAATGGAAGGGACCCTAGTATTATCCTTGAAGCTATTGTCTAAAGCTTTCTTACAGTCATTGCAAGATCTTTCTCATTTACCATCCTTCAGCAAAATATGGTTAGGGGTTCTTAGTTGTATGGAAAGATATATGAAGGTGAAGTTTAGAGGGAAACGGAGCGAAAAGATCCACGAACTAGTTCCAGAGCTCTTGAAAAACACGCTGCTCGTCATGAAGACGAGTGGGATTCTGGTGCCTAGTAGTGAAGAAGATAGTATATGGCAACTAACTTGGTCAATGGTGAACGAACTAGCCCCATCTTTGCAACTAGAAGTTTTTCCGAAGGAAGAGTTGGAGCAGCTACAGAAGACTCAAACAAAAGGTTGCAGTCCTATTCTAGAGGGAAATGTTGCGGTTTCCGCAAGCGAAACAACTGCTTGAATGAGGAACTCTTTTTTGTCTGGAGACTCCAAAAAGGATCGGCATTGTTGAGCAACTGTAGTCATAAGGTGAGCAGTTAGTATAGTGTAAGCCTAGAATGCAGTCCCAGGAGGGAAAAAGCAGATTCGGCTACTTTTTTTCCCTTGTGTTTTCTTAAACTTACATTGAAACTCCAAAGGATCTGAAGAGGGAATAGGTCAATACTTTTGGTTTTTTTGCCCATTTTTTTTCATTTATTTTTTGGGATTCCATGAATACATAGGTTTTATACTAAAGATGAAAACTATATCTTTTTTTGTATTTTGTATCTGTACAAAAAGGTCCAATGTAATAACACACTTTGGCTCCTTAGAGTTTTTCAACTCCCACAAATCTCTATGTTTTGAAACGTTTTTACCGGTTTGTACAGTATGATTTAGTTACGGTACATAAATAAAATAAATATTAGAATATTATAAATGTAAAAAAGTATATTAACAATGGTGAAATTTAACTTTAAGTGAATATATGTTTTTTTTTTTTTTAAAAAAAGATACTTTAACTTTTATTAATTAGAGATATCTAAACTATCATATTGCATTTTACTAAAAATTAAATTATGTAATGCTTGAACATCTTTCCTAGCAACTTTAATCAGTTTGTAAGATTGAAAAAAAACTATAACCGTATAGCAAAGAAACTATTTTTTGGACTTCTGTGGGGATTAATTCCTCCCTAAGATTTTGAGTTAAGGTCTCCGTGAACTTTAACTCGAGATATTCCCAGATTCGATACTAAGTCCTTGTCTCCGTTTGAAAATGTGAGAGGGCATTCAGTCCAACTGACCTAATTTGCATAACCATGCCATAGGGTGAGACAATTTTTCAAACTCCTGTTGTCTTCCTTGTTTGCGGGTTGAATGATCTATCAAAGACAAACAGCGACTCCAGATTGTCCCTCATCTGTTACTTAATTTCTGAGTGGTTTGGAGTAGACGATATAAGGATTCTAGCTAAAGCTAGTTAAAGCTGGTTTTCCGCCTCTAGTTAAAGCTGGTTTTCCGACCTTCTGGTTTTCATCGGTTCGTCGGTACACTCTCCGGCTACAAATTCGGTTATCCTCCCACAGCTGGTTATTTAATTCACTAATATAAAGCCTGATCCATTGGCTTTAAAAATCGGTTCGCCAGTTCTGTGGTGGTCTATAAATAAATTGTAATGGGTTATGGTTTAGTTAGTTTATGCTTGGTGTTTGTCGACTCGTACCAATGACAACTTGGAGGTAGCAACCAAATTCTCTGTGTATCGCTCACTGTTCAGGATTCTCAAATATGTCCATCAGATGCGGCAGTTCGTGAACGGTGATCCACAAGATGCGAATCACGTAGACAGGAAATGATTACTGTAGTTTATAATGATACTGTAGGTTTCTGACGGAGACAAAAGTATTATATTGTACTAGTATATTCCCGATATAATTTACTAATATCCAAATCATCGTTATTAAATGACGATTTCTCTTTGTACGGGGTAAGTCTTACGCACTGTCCCGAAAATATTTTACTTTATCAATAAATTTCCCAGGTAACCTGGTTTGCTAAAAGTATATATATATATATATATATATATATTCTAGTTGACCTCTGTTGTTGCTGATTTTGGTTATGCAGAGTAACTTCATTTTGGATGAGTCTCTTACTTATTTCATCATAAAAATCAAATTACTACTAATAATTATAACCATAAAATGATAAGAAATTTTATGAATATAAGCATATACTATAAAAGGGAATATTCGCGCTAAACGCCAAAAGGTTATATGACCGCCTAAGTGGAGCCACGTAGAAGCTCACCACCTAGAAAAGCAACCGGCCACTTAACAAAGTCACCATCATCATCATAAAACTCGGTCGTTTTTGCGAAGAAGAAACGAAAAAGTCCCAACTTTTCTTTTCCTTCTCAGAAATAGGCGAATTCTTTCGTACATCCGGCGTTCTCTCCGGCCACTTGTTTCTACTTCACGAACCGTAGTCCCGGCGGCGCAATCGGATCAGGTAATCTATCTTCTCTTGTTAGAATTTATGAATTATGAGTCGCGGAATTATTTTGATAATGATACGATCTGGTGTCGGTTACCCTAATTTATTCACGAATTTTGTGTGTTTTATTAATAGCTGGAGAATTGAGGTTGGGATTCACATAGTTGAATTTTACAAGAGATCAATTTTGAACCGGTAGAAGATTTTTGTGTGAAGATGAGTGAGGCTTTCGAAAGATACGAACGACAGTACTGCGAGCTTTCCTCGAATTTATTGAAGAAATGCACCTCTGCTAGTCTTCTTGATGGAGGTACGCTTACGCCCTTTCGTAACTCAGATTGTTCTCCTTCTCTTAATTATGATCTGTAATGGGTATTACTCTACTGTGTATTGTTACTATACGCAAATTCTTCATTCCTGTTGTGGGTAATTTTGTTTGTATTGTTCTGCACTTCTGCTGCATTGAATTGAAATGTCTAAATTTTACATTAAGCATCATAGGATTCTGATCAGGGATGTTATAAATTCTACTCCTTTAACAAGTGAGAGGCATGCCTTTTGGAATAAACGTGTAGTCTGATGATCTACATCAATCGCTTTGCAAATTCTAAATATTTGCTCGTGTTATTCATGGAAGTAGACGTGCATGTTATATTCCTGGACACCTTCATGTATGTTTAAAAAAAGGACGAGTTCGGTGCTGATTATGTATTTGAATTGTCTTTATCCAGAGAGAAGGAAACAATCAGTATCTGAAATAAAAGCAGGAGTTGATGATGCGGAATCTATGGTAACGATATTTTTGCTGTATTTGCTCTTCCATTTGATTCTTAATGTTCTTTGTTATTTCTAACATTGTTTGTTTGTATTCAGATCCGCAAAATGGATCTTGAGGCCCGAAGTTTACCGCCAAATGTTAAAGCAGTTCTACTTGCCAAGTTAAGAGAATACAAATCTGACCTGAATAATGTGAAAAATCAAGTCAAAAGAATCAGTTCAACTAACCTTAATCTGGCTGCACGAGATGACTTGCTGGAGTCAGGAATGGCTGATACATTGACGGTATTTGCTGATTGTTTTTTGGATTGTTCTCCTGTTCTTCATAGGACAGGGTATGAGTCATTGAGTTGTGTCTCCCACAGTATATTATTAGTCTGCTTTTAGCTTATTCTTAAGAATGGCTTGGATGCCCTTCAATTTGTGATTGATGTACGGGTGGTCTGTGCTATGACAGCAAAACAGACACAAATTAGAAAACATTATGTTTGCTAGAGTAGTGAAGTGTAGTTGTTCGTAACAATGTGATATCAAGTGAAATTCTAGTTTGATGCTGGTAGGTGGAGGTTGGGGAATATGAGGTTCGAAAATTCCAAACTTCTTAGCGCCTTCCAAACAAAACCTATATCAGGTTTTTTGCTTGCCTACCTTCTCTTTTTACTAATTAGTGGAGCTTCCGGCTGTTTTCTTTGCAGGTGTCAGCAGATCAGAGAGAAAGATTATTATTCTCTACCGAAAAATTGGATAAATCTAGTCAGAGGATTAGAGAAAGTAGAAAAACCATGATTGAGACTGAGGATCTTGGTGTTTCACTACTCGATGAGCTGCATAAACAGCGACAATCTCTTTTACATGCTCATGACACGGTAGTGATCCCCTTCTAAAATTGGGTTTCTTTATCATGTGGAAGTTTTATGCTGCAGCTCTTAGTGGCTTTAATAGCATTTTGATAGTTCTGGAACGGTATTGATGTTGTATCAATTTAATGATTTCCTCCTCCTTTTTCAGCTTCATGGTGTCGATGACAATTTAAGCCGGAGCAAAAAGATCTTGACCAACATTTCCAGGAGGATGAGCCGAAACAAATACATCATTGGAAGTATAGTGACAGTTCTTGTTCTGGCTATCATCTTGATCTTGTACTTCAAACTATCCAGATAAGCTCGATGCTGAATGTGTGTTGTTGAGTGAAAGTTTACAGTGTGCTTGGTTTTGTAATCCAGACTACCACGGTTGTTTTTTATTGGATTGAAGCAACTTGACCCACCCAAGTGAAGATTGTAATTCATGTTGGCTTTTGTGTAACAGTAGTCTTGCATTTGTTACAAATTCACAGCAGCGTCCGGCGATGATTGAATGTTTTAGCTGATAAGAGTCCATTTGAACGAGATCCAATTGAAGCTTGGTTAGTAAGGCTATTGTGCATCTTTTGAGTTCTGACGATATTGAACTATTCATGTTTGTTTATAGGAAGCCAACATTCATAATGGCATACGTAGAAATCTTACATTATTAGTTCGGCCAACTTGAAGGTGGTACCCTTCTCAAAAAGAAGAAAAAAGAAAAAGGAAAAAAGAAAAAAAAAAAACTACGCACACCCCTTTTAAATTTCTCTTCTTCAAATACTAGTTAACAAGAGCGTCGGTCTATGGTACTATATTTGAAGCAACTTAACCATTCAAAATGAAAACTAATTAGCCAAGGCTGCTAAACAATTTTAACCAAAACTGGTCTGTAATTTAACTTCAAAAGACTTTTAGCACTTTGACATCCTAATCATCCTTGAGGTTGTTATTGTTAGACCCTCGGTTTCCTATAATGGCGTGGTAATTTCTCAACCGCACCCAATTCGTGGTTAGCCTGCTCATGACTCATGACTTCTTTGTGCTCCCTAGACTGCTCATGACTCATGGTTTTTACTTAGGAGGATGGTAATAACTTGATGAGAACAATTAATAAATTTTGAGAATGCATTATGCATCAGGGGATGTAGCTCAAATGGTAGAGCGCTCGCTTTGCATGCGAGAGGCACGGGGTTCGATCCCCCGCATCTCCATTTTTTAAAATTTTTTGTTATTATTTTATTTATTTTATTTTCAGTTCAATACACAAGTCTACTGTGAACCCAATGAAAGCATGGTAGATAATCACTGTAATCAGCAGTTATCTCTCAATGAGAATTTAGACTTAGCTGATGAGCTCAAGACTGTTTTATGACTGCCAATAACAGAACTTTTGAATCCACCGTTGTGCAATGCCGAATCGCAGCAAAAAAGGAGAAAAATTTGTTGCCTCTTGATAATCCGAATCAAGTTCTACTAAGCAACATAGGACTTCAAGAATAGGGAAACACAGAAAGTATACACAATTGCAGTTCTCATTGATCCAAAACAATTTGATTTACCATTCTCACAGGCACCTAATTTCTCTCAACTAAGTGTTTTGGATACAACATTTTTTGGAGTTAGAGAAGGATAGATGCTTCCTATACATTGTCCTTCAATACTAAGGCCACCTCTGCGCAGTCCTATTCTCGAAGTATTACGGTAGTACACAGCTAATGTTAATTACCAGGTCAAACTTATACCAACTTGATGGATTTTTCCCTCTTGAATGCACTGTAATCAGAGAGCAAGCTACCGTTGACCTTGGTCTTCATGTTATCCAGTAATCTCCTCAGAACCTAGCACAATTTCAACACTGACATATTCAGAAAACAAACATTCATAATCCTCCAGATTTTTCCACCTACCATTTCCTAAAACCAGGGAAGGGGCAACTTGAAGAACAAATGAATACATTGACTCACCGACTCTGCAACTTCACGGCGAACTTCTTCAGGAATAAGAGAGAGTGCAGCTGGAAGGATGAAACTTATGCTCATTTCTAGTTTGCCTTTGAGCCTGCTACGAGCTCCCCTCCGTTCAGGGTAAAGTACTCCATTTACACTGAGGCTAAAATGAGATGGCTTTAGCACATCATCTAGTCCCCGAAGCTCCCATCTAATCTGCGTAAACATATCTACTGATCTGCATAAAACGAGGTCTAAAGTACAAAGGATATGACAAAGTATGTCAAGACAGAAACAATCACTTTTTTCTTCAATATACTTACAATTTGAAGCTCAACAATCCCAGGAATATCCCTAGGAACCCCAGGTGGATAGTCGATCCCTTGAGACTTGTACCTGACTCTCATGTCAATCACAGGGTTGACTGTTAGGAAGAGGAACTCTATGGGTAGCATATTGATTCTCCATTCTTCCTGTATAGTTGACAGTGATTAGCTGGAGCATAATCATTTGTATGATTATAATATATTGCAATGACTATTACGAAACATATACGCATATAGTTAAGACCTAAGAGCCGAAGGAAGAAAAAGAAAAGGCTAACAAATATGCATATGAACTAAGTAGCTGAGAATGTCGTTATTGCGAAGATGCTGAAGGTATAACTACAATCAGGACAACAGGATTTGCCTTTGGTATAACCTAAGAAAGCAATCTAACCTATGAATGGAGTTCAAGTCATTGATAAAATACCCATTGTTAAAGTATGTGAATGACTGTATGATCAATCAAAAGTTTAAATAGCCCAATATATATGAATTATGATCTGATATCCACTGCAGAATCCCAAATAGCCATTTAGAATAAGCATCCTTTTTCATTGTAAGACTGTATTAACTATTTTCATGGAAGATCAATATTAACATGCTCAAACTAGTGAGCTCTAGTCTTAGTAAGTAAGTCTCTAAGAGAAAGCCCCAATGAAGAAAGGAATAAAACTTGAACTAAAAAGAAGAAGGCAAATGAGAAGTGACAATCCTGCTGCTAAATTCAGCAATGTAGACAAGGCGAATCACTCTTTTAGGAAGCAATCAAATGAAAAGAGGATGGTTTCATCTCATTTCAAAATCCTCCGTCAAAATTACCTCAATTTTTAGACGAGGAAAAAGAAAAATACACAGCTTAATGAAAGGGTATGATGATTACTCAATGGGTGTTCAACAATTGTGGATACCTCATTGAGTTGCCGGCTTCTTCTTCTATCAGGAAATATGGCTCTAAAAACTCTGGGTTTATCTTCTAGATACTGATCAAAAGTAGCCTGCAGCATATTGATTGAAACCTCATAATTCATAAGTTGCATTCCAAATATCCAATCAGTAAAATATAATGCGCAATTCAGGTATACAAATAGAAGACTATACCCCGGGAATTTCGTAGAGAGGGACATCGGTGGAGATTCTGGAAGAATAAGTTGATGGGTTCACCATTTGCCCCTTCACAACCAAATTCATGGATGGGTTCAGCTTTGTTTGGCCCCTCAAAACCCCACATTGCCACTCTGGTGACAGCACTCTCCGGCGCCTCCACAGCCACGGCGGATTGCCCATTAACAACAACTGGCTGTTATTGAAGCAAGAAGAAGCTACTAGTACTAATCCTACCATAACGTCAACCCAAATTCTGGAAGGAATTTCTTCCTAAACCCTCAAGAATCTGATCAATTTCAATCGAAAACTTATCATGGTCAAGCAGGGTAGCACTCCCAGTTTCAGTTTCAGGGCCGGCTGAGGAAATGGTGTTCGGTTTTGATAGGCAAATTTTTGGCGGTAATGATCTGAGATGGCGCTCATTTAGTGGTTACTTTTTTCTGAGTTAAGGTCCCGGCGGCATATGAACCCACCTTATCAATGCCTGCAATTCCCTACCACGTGGACTGAACCCAGCTTGCTGTACATAATACGTATATTATTATTAGTAGTGTACTCCATCCATCTCGTCATTATTATTATAAGGCATTTTGATTTCGTGAGAGGTTTCACCTGAATATTTTTTAATTGAAATAAAAATCTTAAAAGTATTTTATAATAATTAGGAGAATACAACAAATGTGAAAATATATTTTAAAGATTTTTATCCTAATTAAAAAGACATCCAAGATTAAATCTAGGACGAAATCAAAATGCCTTATAATAAGGGCAGGAGGGAGTATTTTTTAAAAACTAAACAAATAAAAAAAACTTTGGTATGCCAAACAATAATTTTTTTTTTTACGACACTATTATATTTTGTGGATAAAAGTAAAACTCAACTATTATCCAGAAATAGACCAACAAAAAATACCCATTTATTTATGGCATCATTCATCTAACTTTTTGATGATATAAAACAACATTTCACTTTTGACAAAAGATCTCTCATTTGTGTGTAAGAACTTGTTTATTGTTGTTTCTCAAATTAGGATATAATATCTGTCATGTTGTATTATTTATGGTGCAGTCCTAAAATTGAGAAATGTAGGTGATTGAATAGACACTTCCAGATTCAAATCGTTCCAATATAACAAATTTCATCGCATTTGTCTTGATCTCATACTTGGTTTTCATTTTACAAGATCCATGGAGCTAACTAATCAACAGAAGCCCTTGCCAAAACGGGGGAATAACGAACAAGACAAATGGGTTGCACAGCGGAAATCAACATCGTATTCATGGAAATGGTTCCTTTCATGTATGCAATACAACAACATCCAAATTCCGGAAAACCGAAAGATCCTGACTTCACAGCAACAATATCCAGGCAGATTCGTCTTTCGGCTTTCAGTACCAGTACTATCACCGCAACTTGAGAGAACTAAACCAACCACATTCGTTAAAGTAAATTGCTGCTTGAAAAAACCTGCATTCCATGGATAAAAACCTAAACCTTTTGACCTTATTCTTGCCTTTGAAGTGTGAAGTGGTAACACTATATTCGTGTACTTTACATCAGACAGTGAGCTATTCTTAAGCAGAATACGGTATCCTTAGGGCCATTCTTTGAGCCAGCCAAGGCCTCTCTGGATCTGAATCTATGAAGCTGTGCATCAAAAATTGTTCAACTTCATCATCCAACAGCTCCCTGGCCCAGGTCACTCGTTTCGAGGGGCAACTCCCTGGCCCATAACACCTGAAATCCCACCAAAACACTTTGTTTAGATCACAAAACCACCCAAAAAAGAAGAAAGAAAACACCAGACTTTCATTTGTACAGCAGTGCTCTATATAGTCTTTCACAGACTGAAGAAAGAAAACATGGATAACCAGATACAGCGAGGGTAATGAAGTGTTTGTAAATCAGTTGTTTGGGGATTCTACAATTGCTGCAAGGTTTACCTGTACTCATAAAAGCAGGCACTTCTTTCATTTTCTGTCTTGCCCCAGTTATCCCAACCACAATGTTTGACACAGGCATCCATGAAAGTGTAAGCATACACAACCCTACCAAATGGTCCCCAAGGTCGTCCAAGACACGCGTATGATGTCTCACCATTACCAGTAATCACACATCTGCATTTATATTCCAGATTGTTAGAAGGCTAAAGGTAAAATCACAATCGACTTACTTTGCAAATACATCTGATTCTGATATAACAAAGTCGCGTCAAGAAAAAAAAACACACACACGACATGTATATCAGATTCATTGTAGAAAATCGAACTAATTCGTCTTCAATGAACAAGCAATCCTGTTGAAGAACTTCCAAACTATAGTTTCAAATTTATGTCTCACAATCAAAACATAAACCACAAATGCTGGAATGAGCACAATGCAAAAATACAACCCTTTGCAGTCTGAAATTATTGGGGAAACAAAACAAATCTTTTGCTAGCCAATAATATTAAATTAGATTGGTCTCATGATCCAAGTAGCCATGATATGTGAAAGTTCTTCATCACATTTGACTGTGAGAAGCATGGGAGCTTTGCAGACACTTACATAAGGAAAAGGAGCCTTACAAACTACATGCAATCAGAACAAGTAGTTAGAGGATAAAACTTCAAATAGGAGTCCAAAATTAACCACCTTAGGAATATGTAGCCAGTTGTCTCTTGGGAGGATTTTCGGCTCTGTGCTGTTATAAATCCAGCTGACTTGCAGTGGATATGACAATGCTCCAAAAGAGCCGTGCTATTTCCAAAAATAAAGTCCACACTACCTTCAATATAGCAATCCTTCAAATATTGTCTACCATAATGCAAATACAACGTATCCTGCATAGATCCCGAGTCAGAGTTAGAATGAAGACCAAAGACCTTGTTCTATTGAGAGGGATATTCCCATCGGTCAAGGTGAGTAATGTAAAGGATGTCCTATTTGTTGGGTTTCAGGATTAAACAGTTGCGCAGTACACTCCATTAAATATTTAATTATAGAACCAGGAAATACATCCCTTTGTGTTGAACTTTTGAAACTGGTGAATAGAAATGAGAATTAACTACACAATCAAAATACAAAAGTCCAGGAACAGACAATATTCACCAACAATCCTAACATCTTGAGAGAAAGCAGAAAACAACAGTTCCTACATCCCCGTCTTTAAAAGTTACCTGCCATCCCAGGAATCTGCAATTGTAGAATGCACAGCGATCAGCCGTCACTCGAATTGCCACAGCTTGACCCGAACCCTACAACAAAGATCAAGCAAAAGAATGAATTCTACAACATCTAAAGTAGTGCTTAAACCTCTGATGAAAATGCATCATTCTCAATTTTGTATGAGCTCATCATTATCTACATTTGTTGTACTTGGAGATAAAATCAGAGTACTCAGAGAAAAATTTTGGGTGGAAAATATTAGATGAAAAAGGACTTTTTTGGACATACGAACTCAAAAGACTATCACTGTCTACATTATGAATCTTAATTCACGCTAAAACTGCAACTCACTGAATAGTCCATTCAACCATATTACATGGTATGCAGTTACAGAGCCAACCTTTTAAAGCTTTCTTCATCAAAAGTACAAAAGCTTAACAAATTCCATAAAATGAAAAAAAAAAATAGAAAAAGAAAAACAGAAAGATGCTTACTTTAGGTGCAGAGTTCTCAAAGGTGATATTTTCAGCAATAAAATCCTCTCCTTCCACAATAGTACTTCCACATCCAAAGGTCCCGGTTCCAATAACCCGGGATGCCTGAGTTAAAAGAAAAAAACCACTAAAGGGTCAAACCACAATCGAACTACCACGGAATCATGGAAAAGGGATCCTTTACCTGGTGATGGTCGATTTTAGTAGCAGTATTATTCCAGGTAAGAACAGTGATTTCAGGCCTCAACCCAGCAAGGGTAATGAAATTCTTGGTTTTGGGAACGTAGAGTGGCTGTTGGTAAATACCCGGAGAAACCCGAATGAGGGTCCGGCAGGTGTTGCCCAAAGGAACGGCATCAATGGCTTCCTGCACCGTCTTGAAGTCACCACTGCCGTCTAGTGCCACCTTCCAAATCACGGTTCCCATTCTTCCCACCACCGTTGACGGCACAAAGTGATTGGTTGGTTGGTACGAGGAGTCTCCCAGGAGTCTGAAACTCCGACGAAGATGGAGCTTCTTCTTGGAAAGTCTGAGTAGTCTTAGCAGAATAACTCACAAGAAGGATCTATTGCGGACACATAACGCAGTGGGAAATGGAATGGGGAGGAATCCTGCACAAAGTAACGCCTTTATATATTTTTACATCAATTTTCGAGTTTCTACAATTACTTTTGTATTGAATTAAAGAAAAAGAAAAAAAAAAGAACTAGGAGTAATATTAAAATGGGATGATGGGAGTACTAAATTCATTTTATTGTTTTCTTGGACAACAACGCAAGAAACAAAATTTGATGGTCAATTTCACTATGATTTAACGGAATTGAGTGAGTATTTAATAGGAATATCTCCTTATGTTTCTTGTTAATATTTGGAGTCACAATCTTGTGATTCTGGTCTGCCAATAAATTTCTCATCTCTCAATTGATCATCATACTTGTCATATGTGTATCTACTATATCTTATCAATTTCTAGTTTAATTTAAAATAAAATTTCGCGTTGGATTGAGGAAAAATTGAAGCAGGTCTTCATTACTTTCGCACAAGTGTAAGAGGAACTATTGAGATTTGATACACACACAATAATAATAATAATTAATGGATAAAGCTGTTTATGAATGAAAATTGAAAGTTGTGTGAGAGGTAAAGTAGTAATGCCAGGCAAATTTTGCTCATCAGGCCTCAGTAAATTGGCCCTTGCAAGCACTCCGCAATCAAACTGAAGTTGGAATCATGTTCTTTTCTTACAGTCCACTCCATCAAATTTACTGCCACTCTTTTATGCAGCTTGAGGCTTGAGCGAGATTGAAACTCTTCTACTTGTGTAGTCATTACCAAAAATCCCACCTTTTATGCAGACACGATCAGATGTAAAGAACTTCCTGTAGATTGATCAGACCAAATTTAACAGTTAAAATGATCTGCAATGAACAAAGACGAAATGAAACTATTCAAGAAGAGATTTTGGGCTTCAGCACTTGTTAGTTGTTACATTCCCTACTTAAAATCAGCTTAACACTGAGATGCTGAAAACAGTGACAAAACATCTCATCCTAGCAGTCATATGGACACATTGGTTCTGAAATCAGGGAGTGAAATACTCATGGAAACTGATATATGATCTCAGAAGGAGGTCAACTTGACACCTTATTTGACAGCAGAAGTGCATTCCTACAAGGCAAACTCAAATCAGTAGGTGTTTCTATCTTCAAAGACTGTGCTTGATGGTGGCCAAGTACCACCAAAAGGGCGCAAACTAGCTTCCCGATTCAATTTTCAGATTAAAACGCCAATTATTATTCTTATCAAGTGCAAATAATGCCTATGCTTCCAGATTAGGCAAGATGCTATTGAAACTTGCAACTACTACTATATCAATAAACTTATTGGTCGTAAAGATCAGCAATACTTTTATCAAGACTGAAATAGAGGAGAGTTTTTGTGAGATAGGTAAACATAGATCGGAGCCAAAGAGAGAAAATTTCCAAAAATAAAGCATACTCTTTCAGTACTTCTTTACGGAATTCCTCATTCATAAACCCATGAAAGACAGTTCACATTCATTTTCTTTTCAAGGTCGAAGAGTAAAGCTTAGTAATCTTGATTTTGACTAAGAGGAATCATGATCTTTTACCAATTATCTTAATGGATACAGTAGTGAAGGATTAAAATTCTGTGGGATTCTGTCTCTAAGGACCTGATGCATTCTTGTGATGATGTTCACTTATCTACTTTATCTTGGTTCCAGACTAAATTGACAACACCTGTGTACTTGCTCGGTGTTGAAAAATGGTGATCATACTCAACAGACTGATGGGAAACTTGGAATTAGCTATACATAATTTGCATTTGAAGTAAAATCCAACTCACAGCAAGGCACAAAATTAAAAACTCATGCCCTAAAATGGAAGTCCCATTCCTCAATCATCATAGTTCATCATCATTTACAAAATGACAATTCAAATGCAGAAACCTATTCACTCATAACCCAAGATACATTATATCAGCTGTGCCATATGATGGAGGCTAAGACTATTCGAAATTTTTAATTAATCAAGGTAAAGAACTTGACTTCACTTTTGACACATCACTGTGAAATGGTGAATCATACTGGCCATACATCCTCAGTAACAGAATATTTATCTGAATCTGTTCTTTGAGAAGGTCTTTTTAACTGTACTGTTGAAGTTATTGAACTAGACATGTAACTTGTTTAAGGAATGGGAAGTTGGAGAGAAATTCGGATTACACAATCTGAATTCAGTTGATATTTACTATCAGCCATGTCCAAAAGAAGGAGTTTTATAGAACACTCAAAATTTTATATCTAAACATAATTCGGTTGATGATATAGCAAACTGGAAACTCAGCAACGCAGACATTGACAGCAAACACAGAATCTGAATACATGATGCCCTCTATGACGATGAAAATGTGGACTGAAACTGAATTTATATATCTGGGAAAAGAAGACAAATTTGTTTTCCCTTAAAAGCAAAATATCTGGGAGAAACAGTAAATTACTTGCATCAACTAGATAAATGAAAGAAACATAAAACTTATACTACATCTGAGAGTGAAGAGAACACACCTGTCTATATGAACTTTGTGCTAGCCAAAGACAATTGCTTCAAGGCCATCATTTCCCATTTCCAGTTGTTCTTCAAGAATTTGCTTAGCTGAATTGGTGGCCTTGAAACACCAGCGCACATCGATCTTCTTCAAAGTGGGAATATAGCCCAAGGTTGAGGGGATACCCTCAAGGTTGTAACAGTTTTTCACTGTAAGTTGCTCAAGGCAGGGGAATGGCTCATCAGGGACATTCCACTCTTCAAGGTTCAATTGCCAGAGTTCCAAGCACTTTAGTTTCAAGAATTCGCCTTCTTCCACATCCCATGTTTTTCCTTGAAAAACTCGGTCACGTAGTTTGAGAACTTCAAGATTAGGCAATTGTCCAATGACTGATATGGCTGTCCAGGGTATTGGAAGCCTTCCCAACGTCAACCTTCGTAAACTACTGGGAAAATCAAAAGCTGGATACTGCTTCTGGCCAAATAATACTAGACCGTAACTATACACTTTCAGTGATTCGAGACCAGTCAGGAGGCTCAATTCTGGAAACTTATAGGGCTTGTTGAGATTTTTTTCAATAAATTTGCAGTCTAGCTTTCAAAGTCCAGGGAACCTTCTCAAAAACTCCTTTGTTTCTTCTCCTGAGTTGAGAACTGGTGTAGAAAAGAAGTCCATGAACTCTAACTGGCCATATTCATGATGCTTAATACCAATTAAAGACATAGAAGGAATACATACATGCCTTAAGCTTTTCATCTGCCAAATCGTACTTGGCAAGGGAATCTCTCCAGCTGAAGAATTCAGACATAAGGTTTGAAGATTCCACAGATTAGCAATGGTTGAAGGAAGTTCAGTAGCACGACACCATATTGCAAAGTATCTCAAATGAATTATGGATGTGATTTCTTCAGGAAAACCACATTCTAGGCAAATGCATTCCAAATCCAGCACATAAAGAAGTTTAAAGCTGTTAAACAATGTTCATGAATATGGATATGGTGTTGGCTGATAATTCCCAAATAGACGTAGAGAACGCACGCGTGGAACTGAAGGATTTGAATCAATGAACTGCTTCCATTCAGCATCAACACAAAGCCGATAGGTGTTATAGTTTTTGGGGTGGGAGTGGGAAGAATGAGGAACATCACTGTTGTGCACCCAATTTAGAAATGCATCTTCTCTAATCTTCGCCAAGCACAAATCACGTAGTAGGTCATGAACACGGCATGACTTTACTCCACCTTTGGAACTTCTCTCCGTTGGGATTATTAAACTTCGACCAATCAGATCAATCAAGTAATCCTCTGCCACTTCATATAAGCTCTTACCTTCAGTTCTAGGTATGAAGCCTTCTGCAATCCAAAGACTCATCAGCCTTCGAGCTCGGATAACTTTATCCTCCGGAAAAGCTCCAAAATAGAGGAAGCAGGACTTAAGAGACTCGGGTAGATGTTTGTAACTCAGTTCAAGCACATTCATGCACCCTTCAGTAGCAATCTCTGCACTTGTACTTTGTTCAATTTGTTCCCACCAATTAACATCCTTACTTCTTTTTCCTAGGACACCTGCAACCAGAACAACTGATAGTGGCAAGCCTTTGCAGTTTTTTGCAATATTTTTGCCTAATTCTGATAGATCAGGATGGCAACATTCTTGATGAAATACCTTCTCTTGTAATAATTCCCAACTTTCTTCATCTGACAGTGGACGAAGCTGATGATCAGAGCTGCAGTAAGGATTAACTTGTTGAAACAAATTATGAATGCGACTAATGAACACGATTCTACTTCCATTGTTGTCATCCGGAAATGACAATCTTATGCTTTCCCAGGCTTCAATATCCCAAATGTCGTCCATGACAATGATGTATTTTTGTCCCTTTAAAGCTTTCCGGGCTTCTCAGCTAAGTCATCATCTGTAGTGTTAGATTCAGAATTCCGAGCATCGAAACCATAAATCTCTGATAAGATGTCAAGAATTATGTCTCTGGTCTTGTACGTTTGGGAAATACAACACCAGGCACATTTATGAAAGTAATACTTAACAGATGGATCATTATATACTTTCTTGGCTAGAGTAGTCTTACCAAGACCTGGCATACCCACGATGGAAATGATATCAAGCTTTGTTGTTCCTCTCTTGAGTCTATCAATTAATTTCTGTGATTCATCCTTCATACCGATAACAACCTCCTTCAGTCTTGAAGTATTTCCTTGCGCTGGTGGTGTTTCAGCTGGGATAGTTCGGATTTTGTGGATGAGATCATTCTTGCTTCTGCTCCAATAAGCTTGATTCTTTCTATTACATTAGAAAAGCACAACATATCAAACCAAATTGGATGATCTATTAGTGAACACGAGGCGATGACAGTTTCTGCCTGGTACACAACATTGATAACTCGTTTCCAAAGATCTTTATGCTCCTCGCCCTCAATCTGGTCCCCCATGATGTCTTTCAGGTCAGGTTTCAGTAAAAACAGCTGCTCTTTGACTGCCATAACATGATGTTTTGCGGAGGGAATGCTATCGGGAAAACATTACAGCATTTGCTCCAGATTATCCAAGAAAAAATCAATGAAAACCATACCATTTGTCATAGGGAAACTGAAGTCTGATAAATTTGGGACCTGGAAATAAACCTCTGCCACTTCTGCCTTGACTTTTTCAATCTTGGATTGGAAAACAGAAAGACCGGTTTGCCTTTCACTGAAACTGTCCACCTCCAACTCATCAATGTACAATGAAGAGACGAGAGAGAGTGCCTCTTCCAGGACAGCAGCAACTTGTGTGTAAAGTTCATTTCCACCATTTGTTGCAGCATCCTCGAATTGATCCATGAAGAATGTTATCATGAATATTAATCCTCCTCTAAGAAATTCAGCACAATCCCTCAAAGGGTCAGCTAGATCTTCCAAGAAAGTATCAATAAGGGCTGCAACAATTTGACCACCTACGAGTTTATCAGATCTTTGATGACTTTGAAGCTTTTAAGAGTCCAACAAATTTCCTTGGTGCCTCAGGGGTGCAAGGCTTCAGCTTTTGCATCTGATAAAGAAGCATAGTTTCCAATTTTCGTCCCTCTATTTCATCCTTCCCATCTAGCCAACTCAGAAGAGACAGGCACGCCGCCTTTTGAACCCACTCGTTCACATAATCCAACAAATCTTCCATTGCCTGATGCTCAGCACATCTTTTTGCAGTAAAATCAACAAGATCTCTCAGGAAACTCACCCTTTCTAAAAGAACCGTGATTTGGTTCTTCAGGGAAATAACTATTTCATCACCTTTCAATTTCAGAAGACCCTCCAAGTTTTCGACAAGAAAAACCGATAAATACTAAGATGTCACCACAGGCAAGACTTAATTTTGAAGGAAGAACCCAACAAAACATCACATAATTCTCTCAACCCAACAAAACATCACATAATTCTCTCATTTTTGGCTTAAAATGCTCAACTCCTTCCGGCAAACTTGACCATACAGAATCCTTATTGGTTGCACTAAGAATACCAGTTTCTTTCACTATAGCTTGAATGCTAATCACTGAAGAAACAAGATTTGTATCCTTACCTGTTTCCTCGCATTTTGTCAAGCATCTCACGTACAACTTCAGGAATTTCAACTCCAATTCCACATCCTCAGGAAAATTCAAGCCTGATTGAATCTCCATTCTCTCCAGCTCTTCCAGGAGAGAATCCATTTCAGTGGAGGACAGAACCATTTTTCAACATTTTTTTTTTTTCACTCTATAATCTCGTAATGGAAAGAATGCTCAAGACAGAAATTCAGGATTCTAACTCTCCACTGTGTAAAAGTCAACCCTCAACTTCATGCTACAGTATATAATAACATTTATTCCCTTCACTAGGTCTATCCTTTAGTCCCAGTTTCTAACTACCTTGAGATGTATCGTGTTGGATTGAGAAAAACTAGGTCTATCCTTTAGTCCCAAAATGATTGTCGTGTTTATTGATTTTGGGTAAGAGGGAGTTTATAGTTTCTGACTACCCTCATAGGCTCATATCTCTCATGAGTAGTTTTTGTTTGGCTGCTCATCACAGTTGCACCATTATTCATTTTCTAGCTGCATTCTCATAGTTGCTTCACCTCATTCTCTTCCTGAACATCTTGTAAAGTCCTCAGCAGATCAACTAAGTGTAACACATTGAGACGTTTGAGGAAAATTATCAGAAAAAAAATGATTAATGAAGTTTATGTCTCTCAAATGAAGTTATCATTCTATAAAAACTAGTCCCAAAGAAAATCTATACATGACCGGAAGAACTGCATCCGCAACAACAGATCTTTAGCTCAGAAAATTACTGTAAAGAGGACTTCAAAACTCAGCAATCTGGTTTCGGTGACGGTCTGTATTTGGCAGACATCCTTAAATGAAACTGAGGTTGGAATGGCGCCACAGTTTTTCCAATCTTTTCAATAGTTTCATCTGGCCACATATAAAATGTCTTCACAGAACTTTAGGTCTCTCCTCTGCCACTTTCAATGCAGGTCAAGCAAGATGAAAGTTCTTCTAAATGATCTTAAATGAATTTCCTGCAGAAATGATCAAGGGTCAAAAAATAACTTCAGGCTGATCAGACTAAATAAGCAAATAAAATATGCTAATACCACAGTAACAAAGATCAAGAAAACTTTTAACATGAAGGCAAATCAGCTGTACTAACAAGGAAGCCAAGACTCTCTGAATTTGTGCAATTTAATCTTTCCAAGAAAAGAGCACAATTCCGCCACTGAAAACAAAAACGTGAAATGGTGAATGATACCAGCCATATACTATGTTTAGTAAAAGATCTATCTTTACTAAGGTCCGAAGGCAATTGACTGTACAATCTAAACTCAGGCGATGGGGACATTTTACGGTGAACATATAACAATCAGCCATGGCTAAAGGAGGAATCCTAGACTATACTGAAAATCTGATCTTAGAACAGAACTTGATTCATAATGAACCCAGAAACTTAATAAACCAAAGGAACCAGATCAAAATCTATGATCCCCTCTCTGACGATGATATATTTTTTGGGAAAAAAAGAGCATAGCAACTATAACTAGGGAGTACGTTACTTTCGTTCCTATACTCATCACAAGATAAACAACGAAATGTAGGAATAACCATGCAAGTTATGAGAACGCACCTATTGCTCATAAACTTTCCCTATCCGAATACAATTACTTCAAGGCCATCATTTCCCATCTCCAGCTGTTCTTCTAGAATCTGCCTGGCTGAATCAGAGGCTTTTGAACACCAGTGCATTTCTATCTTCTTCAAGGTTGGAATGTAGCCTAAACTTGATGGGATACCTTCAAGGCTATAGCAGTGCTTCACTGTAAGTTGCTCAAGGCAGGGGAATGGCTCATCTGGGACATTCCATTGTTCAAATTCCAATTGCCACAGTTCCAAGACCTTAAGATTCAGGAATTCTCCTTCTTCAACGTCCCAACTCCTTCCTGAAAAAGCTCGTGCTTGTAGTTTCAGAACCTCGAGATTAGGGAGTTGTCCAATTATTGATATAGCTGTCCAAGGCAAGTAAAACCTTCCTAGTGTCAATCTTCGAAGACTACTAGGAAAATCAAAAGCTGGATATTGATTTTGCCCAAATAACACCGGACCATAACTATAGACTTTCAGTGATTCAAGACCATTAAGCCGGCTCAATTCTGGGAACTTATAGGGCTTGTTATTGAACTGTCTTTCAATAAACTTGCAATCGAGCTTTCGAAGTCCTGGCAACCTTCCCAATAACTCTTCCGTTTCTTTTCCAGAATTCAGAATTGGTGCTGAGAAGTAGTCCAGGAACTCTAACTGGCCAAATGCATGATGCTCAAGACCTGTTAAACACATGGAAGGAATACATATATGCCTCAAGCTTTTCATCTGCCAAATGGTATTTGGCAAGGGAATCTCTGCAGCTGTAGCTACCACAATTAAGGTTTCCAAATTCCAAAGATCGGAGATTGATAATGGAAGTTCTGTAGCATGACATCGCATCGCACAGTATCTCAAATGAATTATGGATGTTATTACTTCAGGAAAGCCACATTCTAAGCAAATACACTCCAAATCCAGGACATTAAGAAGTTTAAAGCTATTAAACAAGGTTGAAGAATACTGACATGGTTTTCCTGGATAGCCACCAAAAAGAATCAGAGAATGGACATATGGAACTGAAGGATTTGAATCAATGAAAGGCTTCCATCCCGCATCAACAAAAAGCCGATATATGTCATAGCTTTTGGGTATCATAGAAGAAGAATCAGGAATATCACTGTTGTGCACCCAACCTAGAAATTTGTCTTCTCTAATTTTCAGTAAGCACAAATCACGTAGTAGATCATGAACACGACATGCCTTTACACCACCTTTAGAGCTTCTCTCGCTAAGGATTATCAGACTTCGATCAATCAGATCAATCAAGTAATCTTCTGCTAGTTCATATAAGCTCTTCTTTTCAGTTCTAGGTATTAATCCTTCAGCAATCCAAAGATTCATCAGCTTTCGTGCTCTGACTGCTGTGTCCTCTGGAAATGCTCCAAAATAGAGAAAGCAAGGCTTCAAAGACTCTGGTAAATGCTTGTAACTTAGTTCAAGCACATTCATGCACCCTTCACCTGCAATCTCCGAACTTGTACTTAGTTTAATTTGCTCCCACCAATCAACGTTCTTGCTTCTTTTCTCTAGGACACCAGCAACCAGAACGACCGAGAGAGGCAACCCTTTGCAGTTTTTTGCAATACATTTGCCTATTTCTGATAGATCAGGAGGGCAAAATTCTTGGTGAAATACCTTCTCTTGTAACAACTCCCAACTTTCTTCATCTGACAGTGGACGAAGCTGATGATCAGAGCTGCAGTTAGGATTAACTTGTTGAAACAAGTTATGAATGCGACTAGTAAATACAATTCTACTTCCATTGTTATCATCTGGAAATGATATTTTTATGCTTTCCCAGGCTTCAACATCCCAAATGTCATCCATGAAGATGATGTATTTTAGTCCCTTCAAAGCTTTCCGGAGCTTATCTGCTAAGTCTTCCTCTCTTGTGTCAGAATCAGACTTTCGAGCATCAAAACCACAAATCCCAGATAAAATGTCGAGGATTATGTCTCTTCTTGTATAAGTTTGAGATATACAACACCATGCGCGCTTATGAAAGTAATATACTACAGATGGATCATTATATAATTTCTTGGCTAGAGTAGTCTTACCAAGGCCTGGCATGCCCACAATTGAGACGATGTCAAGCTTTGTAGTTCCTCTCTTGAGCCTCTCAATTAATTTCTGTGAGTCATCCTTCAAGCCAATGACAACCTCCTTGAGCCTTGAGGTATCTTCTTGCGCTGGCAGCAGGCGACTGGAACCTGTTTCAGCGCGGGCTGTTCTCATTTTGGGGATCAGATCATCATTGAACTTTTGCACTTCTCTTCCAATAAGCTTGCTTTCTTCTAATACATTAGAGAGGCACAACATATCATACCAAATGGGGTGATCCACAAGTGAACACGAGGCGATAGCATTTTCGGCCCGGTAGGCCACATTGATAACCCGTTGCCAAAGATCTTTTAATTCCTCAGACTCATTCTGGAATTCCATGATATCTTTCAGATAAGGTTTGAGTAGAACAAGCTGCTTTTTTATTTCTGCAACATGATGTTTAGCGAAAGGAACGCTACGGGGAAAACATTTCAGCATTTTCTCCAGATTCTCCAAGAAAAAATCAATGAAACCCATACCATGTGTCTTCGGGAAACTGAAGTCTGAGGAGTTTGGCATCTGGAAATAAACCTCTGCAACCTCTTCCTTGACTTTGTCAATCTTGGATTGAATAGCAGAAAGACTGGTTTTGCTTTCGCTTAACATGTCCACCTTCAACTGGTTAATGTACAGTGAAGAAAGGAGAGAGAGTAGCTCTTCAATGACAGCAATAACATGCGCGAAAAGTTCATTTCCAGCATTTCTTGGAGTACCGTCTGATGGTTCCATCAAGAAGGTTAGCATGAAAATTAACCCTTGTCTTAGGACTTCAGCATAATCCTTCAAAGAGTCATCTAAATCTTCAAGGAAAATATCAACAAGAGCTGCTACTATTTGACCCCCAAAAAGTTTGTCAGATCTTGATGACTTTGAGGCTTTCAAGACTTCAATGAACTTCCCTGTTCCCTCTGGAGAATAAGGCTTGATCTTTTGCAGGAGATTGTGGAGCATACTTTCCAATCTTGGCCCCTTCACTTCATCCTTCCCGTCCAGCCAGATAAGAAGAGACAAACACGCCGCCTTGTGAACCCAATCGTGCACATAATCCAACAAATCGTCCATTTTCTGATGCTCGGTACATCTTGTTGAAGCAAAATGAACAAGGTTTCCCAGGAAAAAGAGCCTTTTTTGAAGAACCATGATTTGATTCTTCAGAGAAACAACAATTTCATCACCTTTTAATTCAAGAAGACCCTCCAAATTCCCGAGAAGGAAACCAATGAATTCCAGGACTTCATCACTGGAGCAAGACTTGGAGGACTGTAACGAAGGAACCAACAAAACGGAACACATTTCTCTAATGTTCGGCTTGAAGTGCTCGATTCTTTCCAACAAACTTGAGCTCACGGTATCCAAATTGGTCGCAGTAAGAATATCAGTTTGTTTCACTATCCTTCTAATGCTGATCAACAGAGATTCAAGATTCGTGGTGTCCTTACCTGTTTCCGGGCAATTCGTCAAGCAGCTGACGAACAACTTCAGGAATCTGAACTCCAATACAACATTTTTTGGAAAAGTCAAGCCTGATCGAATCTCCAACCTCTGCAGTTCTTCCCGGAGACAATCAATTTCAGTGGAAGTGGAAAACATTTTTTTCAACTTGTTCATCACTCCCAATTCAATAATCAATCTCTTATACTAGAAAGATTGCTCAAGAACAGAAAAATTCAGGATACAAACTCAGAATTCTCCACGGCGAGTGTATAAAGTCAACACTTACCTTGATTCGATTAAATTTGAGACAATCTGTATCCAGTTGTATAATATAATATAAAATTCATAAATCATGTTTTTCGCAAAGAAACAAATATTAATAAACTTATATTAATCTTCTGTCACTTGTATTTGGACTAGTTCAAGTACGGGATCATCGTGATGTGTGCGGCCTTTAAATTAATTAAACTCTAGGTTGACACATTGAATTTGTCCTCCTTATCTTGGTGACCCGCACAAGTAAAATTTTTCATGCATTATTTGTGAAAAATAAGGAGTATAAAAAAAAGTAAGAGTAATTGGGTTGAAAGACACATTTATATATACTCGCTTAGTCCAAAAAGATTTTTAAAATTCTCCTCAAAAATGCAGTATAAGCTAAAACTTTTCAAGTAATAGCCGAATATTTATACTATAATTTTAATTTTTGCATTTGAATTTTTTACTCTTATTTTTCATGTCAGAAAATTTGTAAGATGAATATTTCTCGTTGTCTATTTTATCTTTATGATATGAGAAAGGTGAATATATAAAGTAAAATGTAAAGAAAAATAAATAAAATAACTTCTCTCAATTGGTAATATTGTCTTACAGTCCGTAACAAAGTCAAAAGATTGCATGTTTTCTAGTCGAACTTTCAATGGTTGTGAGATAATGGATTTCTGTTGAAGGAACTTTATGGAAAAATCACCTCCAATTTTATTCTTCAATTTCCAGAATCCAGATTACTTCTTTTGAAACTCTCTCTTTATTTCAATGAGTACGAAATTCCAGATGAGGAAATAGACCCTTGATCCCCTGGACACTTCATTTTTTTCATAATGAATCTCACTGTAATCACTGGTAATATTTTCTGGCACTATGCACAAGTACTTCACATCCATTGAGAGTGACTGCATTGAATATAAACCCGTATTGAATAAAAAAAAATCCGTAAGAAAGCAACCCGTTGAATAAAAAAAAAACTCTAAGAAAGGAACAAAAGTTCTAAAAGAAAATTAAACAGAGAGACATACCGGATTATTTTGAATTGTTTACAGTCATTGAGTTTAAATAGAACAATATTTAACAAATCCCGTATAAGATTTAGAATGAGAGTAATCTAACTTGGACTCTATTTGAGTTTTCATTATGAGATTACTTATTTTAAAAGATTGTTGCAGAGAATTAAAATAAAATTATCTTCTATAGTTAAGATGCAATATAATCACGGTTAAATCTGTTTTTTTACTTCCAACTTAAGTGAGCTTCCAATTTCATGCCAAGTAAGCTATTTTCATTCTGTATTAATATATACTAGTGTTTCTCCCTCACGTTGTGCGGATTGTTCAAGATATATTTGATATTGTAATGATTATATGACATTTTCGACGGAGTGATATATGCATTTTCTCTATGTCATTATAATCGTATAATTTTTAATATCAATGTGTTTTATTATTTCAAGCACATTTGGAATAATTTTCATTAATGTAACTTGTTGTCCATCGTTTTTGTTTTATTGATTTATGATTTTATATCTTTTATTAAAAGTATTTTATTAATTTTTTATAATGAGCTCTGTAAATATTTCCATCTATGTTATATAATATATTGTTTACTTCATTTTTTTTTCTTTGTTGCATAGTGTTCACTTTTTTTTTTCTAAATTTGATGACCTTTCTTTAAATATACATTTCTTGAAAAATTTGTAATAATTATTTTATTTTTCATTATTATCTCGATTTTTTTTTCATATTTTCTTATTCTATACATTACTTTTTCCTCCAAATGATTATTTTTAATTTCTCAATATGATATTCTCTTACTGTTTGTCTTAAAGAAACACCTTTATTCTTTTTCTCATTTTGAAAAATTTTCCCTCAAGAGGCGCTATTTATTTTATTATCATAACATCAACTTTTTCTAATCATCCATCAAATGAACAATGAATATATTTTATTATTATATTACTTCATTATAAATCATTTATTGTATTATTTTATTTTATAATATACTATATTATAAATAATATGAAATATTACTCTCCTTGTCCCAAAATTATTGTCCAGTTTAGATTTTCACTTTTGGTTCAATTTGTATTAAAAATAAAAATATAATCTGGACAATAATTTTGAGGCTGAGAAAGTACATATTATACTACTAAAAATTTGGCCGATTAATATATAATTATATTATGACTATTATTATTTTAATTTTTTTCATATAGAATATTTATAACGGTAATCATTTATTAGTATCACCCGTAAAGTAGCAAAAAATATATCATTATGAAATTTACAATTGACGCACCACCAATTGAAATAAAAACCATCATAAGAAGTTTATTATTATTTATTTTCTTATTATCTTCATGATAAACGTCCAACAAATTATTTTTTCGAGATAAACTTTTTTGTCAAATTATTTTATTTCAAATTACCATCAATCAAATTACCGTAGGCTTAATTAATTCCTTCTTTCTTAGTAACCCCCCAAAAAAAAAAAAAAAAAACTCAATGAAGGGGTTCTCAAAAATGGAATATTGCTTCCACATGCTGATTCAATAGAACAAAAGCTCGAAAAGTTATAGTCAAATAGTTCAAGAAATTTAATTATAATAACCAAACGGGCTCGTGTGAAAATTCTCGCTATTCTTATTCTGATTAATTGTGCTAGTTCTATTGAACACCACAATTGATGATCACCATCAGGGGACTACAAAGGAGAAAGAGACCGAAACTTCTGAATATCAACTACGAAGGATGAGAAAGAAAAACTCAGCCATTTACTGAATAATAATTGTGAATCAAAGTACATAATCAAAGGAAAAAAATGTTTAAGTGTGCGACGGAAATAATTTTTTTTTTCTTTTGAGATCAGTGTTGGAGATCACATTCCAATGGTGTGTTGTATTGTTGGGTTTTTTTTTAAGGCAAAAATATTGTACCCGTTTTTTAAAAAAGAAAACATTATGCCCGTGATGTAAAGAAACCAAACATGTGCTTAGTTCTGGAAATGAATAGAATATGATAGTTCTTCAAAGCCCAAACAATCTTTTGCCAATATTCAATTTTTCTGTTTTCGAAAAAATAAATACGTGTAATTTGTTTTGTTTGTAATTTGTTTTGTTTGCCAAATTATTGTATGGCCGACTAATTCGATTTGGTTTATGTTTCTTTTTGGTCGCTTCTCTATTTTAACATTAAAATTACCATTAAGGGGTTTAATTAAGTAAGTTTTATCTATAAATTTATAAGTTTACATTACAAATTACCATTAAATGATAGATTAATGTGGTTGCGACATGTGGACTTGGTATCTAATTTTTTGACACGTGGATTATCTTATCTAACTTTGCGACATGTGTCCGATTGAAAATTCTTCTTTAATATAATACTAGATGCTTGCCCCGGGCGAATGCCCGGGGTGCCGCCTGTATTTTTAAATCGATTAAATAAAAAATACAAATCATTTTTAAAAGAATAAAAAAAATAGAAGAATAAAAAATAGATTGAAATGACAGAAAGTGAGTTATTATACATAAATCTATGCCTAGATTTATAACATTTAATTTACAACAGTTAACTTATGCTCGGGTTTACATAAATCATAAACCAATATCTACAACAGAAGAATAAAAAAAAATCATCCTTAAAAAATCAAATTTCTTTCATGACAGCTTATTTTTTCTCTGTTGTAGAAAGAGATGGATTGATAATTGATGTCAGATTTTAAGTAATTGATTTAAAGGCCCGGGTGTGAGAGATGAGCGGAATGAAAGAGATTCTTTGAAATTGGGGATTGAGAGGATATTATTGTGTTTCACTTGATTTAAGGGGATTTCCTTACATTTAATTTTATTAATTAAATATTGTTATTTTAAAAGATTAGTATATACCTATAATTAAGAGATTTTTATGTAACTATAATTAAGGGATTTATGTATTTATCTATTCCATCTTTTTTTCTGATTAGTTAGAGTGCCACTTGTCAAAAATGATTTTGTACTGAAAATGGCTTTTGGTGGGAAAATTTTCATTATAGTGCTGACACATGTCCTTTTGTTTGCTGCTTTAATTAAGTACTATATATATATATATATATATATATAGACACACACACACACTAGATGTTACCCGTACAATATGCGGGATTTATATATATATATATATGTATATTTATTATTAAAATATTTAAAAAGGTAAACATTGAATTGTACTTGTATAATATAATATTATGCATTAAAATATCATTAAAAATTTTCATGAGAAAATGTAATAGTACAACAATTATGAATATTAATCAAGTAAAGAAGAGATAATATAATAATTATAAGAAAAGATAATAATGATTTGCATGCTGAAATGTTGAGGGAAATCACTCTTCCGCGTCATTTTCACCACCGATGTTTAACTACCTTCGTTCTGGACTTCATATTGGGGTAAAAGTTCCTACAATTCGGCATCATATCGGACTAAAACGTAACCAATAGCATAAAGGAAACACAAACTTTCATTCATCTTAGTATACCTTCAACTTATTTGTTTTATTTATTTTTCCTCGCCTGTACATAGTTGCATGGAACAAAAAAAAAAATGAAAAATGAAAAATGAAAAAAGATACAAATAAAGATGAAAATAAATACTTTTCTTCTGGAGGTTGACATTGATCGAGGAGCTTGAGGTTGTTTGTATCGATGAAGGAAAGGAATGGGAGTTTTTGATATTGTGCACGCGGATTATGGGTTTTCGGTTAATGTTATATATATATATAATATTTTTATAGAGTGATTTCTCACTATTGATGATTAATGGCTAGTATATCAATTTTAAAGGATCAGTTCTACCGAGATTTCATAATTAAAGAATCACTTCCAATTTTGTATTAATTATTTTCGAATTTCAAAAAAGCAT